GTGGGAAGATGTGATACTTCTAGAGTTGGGCCGTTGCTTGGCCAACTCCTGTGTGTGAATGAGCCGGTATTAGGTTATCCGAAGTTGATTAGAGGTTAAATGATTGAATAGGTTACTAATGTCAACAATGTACACGTTCCTTTTCGAGAGCTCTACTGAAAAGAACTGTAGAGTTAAGTGAGGATGCGCATGAGTGAAAACAGAAACGCGCTTAAAAACTCGTGTTAACCTGTATGACCAACCTGCAAACCCAGCGCACCTGATTTTGCGTAGCTTGTTGGGTCGTTACTTAGCCACCATTGTTTATAATTTACAACCAAATGTACCAATTAGTTGTTGGGTTTCACATGTTTGAGTCAAAAATACAAAAAACGTGTAGGTGAATTTTATATATATATATATATGTAATTCAACGTCATAATTAAACTTGGGTGTGATGATTAATTCGATATTGGAATCTTGAAATTATATTTTAGACATGATGTACATCGACTGTTTTGTCCATTTTTGTGGCCATTAAATTGGATTGGTTGCAAAACAGTAAATAAAATCAATGATATATATCGATCATCTAACCATCCATTTCATTCTCAAAATTTATACTATATTTTATGTTAACTTTGTTCACCCAGATAATTATATTATTGATACGATTTTCAATATATTCTATATAGTATTTTATTCTCTCATAAGAAATCTAACACTCAACTCAAAATATATATTTTTTTATAATAATATGATTCTTTATATGAGAAGAAATATCTCAAATTAAAATACTAAACAAACACATCTCTTATTTCTTTATATGAACTTCACTTTATTATGCTATTATTTTTTTGGTTAAAAATAGTTTAAGTTATATGTTTAGATAACAATTTTGAAAAAAAAAAATTGATAAAAATTGAATAAAGAATAATTATTTGATACTATATAAATTAATTGATGTTGGCTATAATATTTTATATTTAAAACAAACTAATATAATATTATAAATAAAAATAAATATTTGATAAGAATCATTTTTAAATTAATACAAATAGTTTCAAAATTTTCAAATCATTATTGTATGTAAATGGAACATTAGACTTCAAAAATTAATTTTTAATGTGGCTTATTTAATAATTGGGTTGAAAATAAGATACATTTCTTTGGACTCTTAAAAAAAAATTTTGAGAATGACAACAAACTAATAATAATAATAATAATAATAATAATAATAATAATAATAATAATGGCGGATCTCTTCTAATAAGGTTAAATCAGATACCCGAAGATTCGTTGACTTAGTTTGAACACTTATATTTTTAGATATAAGTTACAAAGAGAATACATCAAATACATATAAAAGTGTAGGTCTAAAATCATAGGCGGAACCAGACCGAGATGAGAGAGAGGGCTAATTTTTCAAATTTCGAAACAATCATCTATTTGTTATCCATTAATTTTATCAATGAAATTATCATATTTAAAAAATCTTGCAAAATATCAATCTGCAGTGACAACTGCGTATTACCGGATGAATTTTATATTATATGAAATTGATAAATAGTAAAAACATTTATTAAAAAAAAAATAGCTCTTAAAAATATCATCTCCTATGTATTTGGTTGAGAATTTTTTAAAGATTTTTTTTTTAATTATTGTTTATTACTTTTTTGTTCATATCTATTTTTATAGCATCAAACGGATATGATATAAATTTTTTTATTATTCAAAATTTAAATTTTCACATAAATATTCTATCAATTTTTAGCAATTTTTTTAATTTATTTATTGTTTTTTATATTATATATTATAAAATAAAAACAAAAAATTAAAAATTAAAAGAGGTGGTGGGGTGGGGGAAGAGGGGTCTGGAGCCCCCCTTGCCCCCACATACATCCGCCTCTATCTAAAATCCTGGTGCACATGACCCAATACACTATACGGGCGGCCCAAAATTCTCCGCCTCTATCTAAAATCCTGATGCACATGACCCAATACACTATACGAGTGGCCCAAAATTCTCGAAAAGTTGGATGTACGTACCTTCAAATTTCAACTTGGACTTCACAGTGTATCAATATAATCAACTTCTTGAACTCTTAGTCCAGATAAATTTGCATTCCAAGTATTTTTAGTCAGCCTCAATTCTTCCATAATAAACTTCATTCTTATCAAGATTTTGAACTAAAAAAATACTAAATCACTTGTTTGCCTAAGCATATCATCACATATATAAAATAATATTTTTTCTATCATCTAAATTTATTTATATTTTTTATTATCATCTAAATTTATTTTTATTTTCACTTTTAGTAAAAAAATCCCATGTTTTTTACTTTTTTTTAATCCTAAAAAAAATTATTTTTACTTAACTTTTTAAAAATTTGTGTCAAGTCAAATGAGCATTTATATAAAGATAACAATAAAATTCGATGTTGAAACTAATTGATATGATATAGGAGTCAAACCTCTTGTTTCATTGTTGTAGATATTGCTCCAACTAATATAGTGATTTCTATAAAAGACAATCAAGATTTTCTATCAAAACGGTGTGTTTGTTTGGGGGATTGGGTTTACTTTCCATTATTCATCCCATTTTTTTTTCCAAAAAAATATTAAATCAAACACTTATTTTTCATTTTTTATATTATACTAAAAATCAATTTTACGTTCAAAACATCACATCAACACCTATTTATATCACATCATATAACTATTTAAATTCAAAATTTTTACTATTCAAATCCAACTCAAAATCCAAACCCCCAAACAAACACACGGCGAACAATTAAGCCTCAATTTACATTTTCCAAAATTCATAGTCAATTATATTAATTTTGTCAACTAAATACTCCCTCATTCCCATATATTTTGGGCTTATTAACGTAGATACACGAATTTAGGTAAAATATAATTAGTAAGTAACTAAAAAGTGTATTAGTAAAAATAATTCTTATTTAATAAAAATAATTATAAATTAAGATATAAGTAAATAATTCAATTAAATTTAAGAAAATTATAAAATTTAAATGTTAAAATGTGATTAAAGTGAATAATCATAGTTCAAAAAAAAAGAAAATGACAAATTATGTGGGACGGACGAAAATAAAAAATAGGAACAAATTATATGGGACGGAAGAAGTATGTTTCTTCGTTCGGCCTGATAACTACCACATAACATAATCTGGTGTTTTTTAAAATAAAAATACAAAGAATAAAGAAAAAACATGGCACAAACTAATGAATTTGGTTATTCAAGTCCCAAATAACTCTACATCAAAGGTGTTGTTATATTACTTGAGTTTTTCACTGTGATTCTTGAAAATATATATATATATATATATCAAGTAAAAATATATAAGATTGAAATCCTAAATTCATACAGAAAACTCCCTAACCTAATCCTTAAACATCGGACATCTCATCATCATGTTGTTGAAAGACAACCAACGGCTCAAAAATTACATTGGCGGGGGCCATGTAGGGGTTCGGGGGCTCATCATCCTTGCTACATAAGTCGAGTATATTGTTTGATTATATTGACCTTCCGTTCAGTCGGATTCAAACAATTCTTACTGAGTCGAAACTTTTATTATGTTAATTGAATACATGAAAATATATCTTTTTACTATCCGGACATCCTCAAAATAATATAAATTTCTATTGTATGATTATCCAATGGAATGGCTAACACAATCTTGAGTTGCAAAGGAAAATTGTGCATTTCCTTTCGAGGATTGAAATTAAGTTTGAAATTTGATAGTAGTAAAAAATAATAATAATAATTGCAATAATATTGATATAATATACATAGAAGTTTGATATGATATTTTGAATAATTTATTACTCCCTCCCTCCGTCCCACGTTGGATGTCTAGGTCACAATAGACACGAGAATTTAGGATAAGTATAATTAATAGATAAATAAAAATATATTAGTGAAAATAATTATTCTATAATATAAATAATTATAGATTAAAATTAAGATAACTAATTGATTTATTAAAATTTTAAAAAAAATTAGAAAATTTAAAATGAGATTAAAGTGTATAATCATTTTCCAAAAAAGAAAGTAATATGGGATGTAGGACGAATAAAAACGACAATATGGATATGATAGATGGGACGGAGTGAGTATTATTTTATTTTGTAATATATCAAATGAAAAGTAATAGATATTTGATTTGATTGCTTCAGATAAATATTTTGATAAATTATGCGAAATCAAATACATATCTTCAAAATAGAAATTTAAAAGTTCAATTTATTTTATTAAAATAATTTACATAAAATTCGAATGTTGATTTGGACAAATCGGTATAATAATAAATGAGACTCATATGTTGCCTAGACAAGAAAGGAAAATGAAACATAAATTAGAGACAAGAACGTCGTCATACATTATTGTACAATGACAAAACAAGGCAACCACCTACATTAATAAATTTAATACTCCATCCATCCTATATATCGTGTCTGCTATATGTAACGTGTAATTAGTATATAATTAAAAATATATTAGTAAAAATAATTATTTTATAATATAAATAATTATAAATTAATATTAAAATAACTAATTAGTTTAATTAAAATTTTAAAAAAATAAATTAAAAAGCTTAAATGAAATTGAGATATATAATTATTTTCCAAAAAAAAAAAAAAAAAGTGACATGAAATGTAGGACGGAGAAAAAGGACAACGTGGACAAGTACTATCTCACTCGTTTACTTTTATTTTAAACATATGATCATAATATTTTTAATATCAAGTACAATAAAAAAAAAATAAAAAAAAAAGTAAAGAAACCAACGGACGAATATATATTTGTTTTCTTTTGTATTTTATCTATATGAAAAATATACGTTTTATATTTATAGCATATAACTCTCGACACACTCATTAATTTAATATATAAACATCTTATAAAGACAACGTAATCATGCTATCATTGGATTCAGCGCGTAACAAATATATTCATACAGCATAACATAATATTCAAAAACTTAAAAAAAACAGACACAAAAAGCTCGTACATATTGGTAAAAACTGTGAATTCAACGAGAGGATCATCTACAAGAAATTACACAATTCTACATAGAACCAAAATGACCCATCCAACTCCTCAAGAACATGTAAGAAAATAAAAACTCGATTGATCGATCGATCGAGCAAACCCCGACAACAATCCAACACAAAATATAAAAACATAAAAAGGAACGAGCTACGTACCTCCCGAAACATTCGGACCATTACATACGGTGGCATGTTTGCGACTGCGCCTCAGTCGAGGAGTTCTTGAAAGGCGAAGAAATTCCTCCTGGAAATCCATGATGTAGTCTAGTCTTATGGCGATCGATAGGATTGCACTAAAGACTTTCCGGAGAATATATGCGCGAAACTATAACAACCACGGCAAACCAAAGGATCATACGGAAACTCTCGACCAAAACACATTCAACTTAGAACACACAAAAAAAAAAAAAAGACGGGAATGTCGAGCTACTCTGGGTTGAATTTGAGAGACTCTCTCCATATTAGGTCCTTGATATCCTCTTCGCTTAAAGATGATTGTTCGAAATCAAAAACAAAAGGAGACGGACACATGGGCTCCTCGTTAATCTCATGGAGACTCGATAAAAACGGATGGTTCAGCGCTTCCTCGACTTCAGCCATTAAAAGACATCAATCAGAGAGGTTAAATTATAAAGATATACTCCCTCCACCCGATAAAATTAGAGATAAAAGTAAAATGATAGTTAAGAATATTTTTGAAATTTTAGTTAGAATTAAAGAAAATAAGGAGAGAGAATGTAATAAAGGCAGCAGTAAATAAGTGTAAATTTAGAAGGCAGGCTAAAAAATAAAATGAGTAAATTTGATCGACGGAAGCACTATATAAGTTCCAATGAACGAACAAAGGCAAAGCGCGTACCAGTTATGCGTTTTTCTGGATCGAAAACGAGCATCTTCATCGCAAGATCGATTGCACCGGGAGATGCATCGGGGAATTTTCGAGATAGAGGTTGCTTGGGTATGTAGGGTAGCTGCTTGACGTACCTTCGAGCATTGTCACTCCTCAAAAATCGTAGATCAGATTCGTCGGGTGATCCCAGTAGCTGCTCCAAAGTTTTTAGTCGAGTGTTAATGAACACAGCCGTGCAAACTATAATCGAAAAGAACATAAAATCGAAGTTCTTACCTCGTTTATTAGCCCCAACTGCTGAACATAATCTTTACCAGGAAAAAGCGGCTCTCTTGCGATGATCTCCATCAATATACAACCGACCGACCACATATCAATGGCTGCAGTGTACTCTGAACAGTTGAGCAATAATTCAGGTGCACGGTACCAGCGCGTTACAACATACTCGGTCATAAAATCTGTCTCGGAGGTGGTTCTTGCAAGTCCAAAGTCACAAATCTTTAGATCACAGTTAGCATTAAGAAGTAAGTTGCTCGGCTTTAGATCACGATGCAGGACGTTTGCAGAATGTATGTATTTAAGTCCACGCAACAGCTGATAAAGGAAATACTGCCAAAGCAAGATAAAATCGTCACGGTAACAACAAAAATGTCTACAGATAATAGAAAATTATGATGTTTCCAAACCAAAGAATATAAATGTCGAAATTTTTTATATTAGTGGAGACACATCTGACATTTTATTCCAAATAAAATGCATTTTCAACAAGCTGTATTATCAGATGGAGACCCTCTCAAGATCTATGTCCATATGTATGTATTTGAATTTTTACAATGATAGACAAACATTGATTGTTTTGTATTAGTATAAACTTTTCAACGATGCATGTTCATAAATACAATCATATCGAGGCATTATCGTACTTGTTTAAATTTTCTGTATTTTCTTAGTCTCACCTACAATGACGATATTTTCAGATTGTAACTCTTTTGATAAAGACAATATTGAGATAACTTATGTTCCATTATTTTCCCTCATTCTTCGTCCCAAATCTTTTGCTATTCTTTATAATTTGGGACGTCCCAAAACTTTTACCACTTTTATTTATTTAAACGTAGTCTTTTTCTCGGCTATCCTTTGAAAGCACAAACTATAAAATCATTCCAAACAAAAAGTAAGTGTAACATGGTCATAAAACTATCAAAATTATACCGCCTAAAAGATTGCACCTAAAGTAAAACATGCAAAAGTAATAGGACATAGGAAGTATTTCCTTCACGATGAAAGACGTAGACAAATAAGTAATGAAGTATTATTTAGAAGTCACAAATCCTTTCACTGGCAGTATGCTTTCTTCTTGTCAAGGCTAGCAAATGAACCACTACAGTATAGCAGATGTGTTTCAAGAATTCGAAATCAATAATATACTTTTTCAACATAACTCTGATGCAAATGGTCAGTCAACTAAACATCCAGAGGCTGTTTACTATGCATAACTAATCAGCATATGAATTATAAACTATAACACCGACATTATGTTTAGCTATGTTTTCGAATAGTTTTGGAAAAATTAATAAGAAAATAGGTATTTGATGTAATCTTTTGTATAGAAAATAAGCTCTTAATGTAATATTCTAAACAAAAAAAGAGTGTTCTTTGTAAAAAGTACTTTGAAAACATTCGTATACGGATTTAGGGTAGGAAACAAATCCCGAAGGTATTGAGAGATGCCATCTACAATTTCACATGCCTCATTTCCTGTTTAGTTAATTTTTTTCAGTTAAGAATCATAAACCAAATAATTCAATCCCAAAATCACTTAATTTGATCTTATAAAGATGGCCATCAAACCAAGAATTGCTTATGAACAGCATAAGAATTTATCAGAATCTAAAATGAGTGAAAATCACAAGGCAAAAAGTTGCATATCTGATTAATGAAAACAATCTAAGATCAAAAGTTAGCCATTGTTTGTGAAAGCTTACTTGACAGTGATCATCAGTGAGTTCCTGGCTCGAACAGATTATCTGATGCAAATCAGTATCCATCAATTCATAGGCAATGTACACATCGTTGAAGTTCTGTTTATCTGGAGGCTTTACAATATCCAATATTTTGATAACCTATGAGCAGATACAAACGATAAATTCAACAAAATTCAAAATTGAAACCTCAAATTATAAAAATCTTCCCCAACATTTTCGTGGTCCATATGCGTTAGAAGCTTGATCTCGCGCAAAGTCCTCTTCGCATCGATCCTGTTGTCGAACGCGTTCGCGATCCTCTTAATTGCAACCGTCTCCTTCGTCTCAGAATTCGCAGCCGAGCTGCACGCACGACGAGATTGCAGCAAATTGAGAGAGACAACGTCGACGACATCGCAGGGGAGCTCTAATTCGAGACAGAAGCAGCAATTGCGAGAAACAGTAGAGCAGGAAAATTACCAAACGAGGCCATAGGCGCCGCGGCCAACAGGAGCGATTGGAGGGACGTACTTGGCAGGGACCTGGAAGAGGTTGCCGAGGACATTGTACTGGACAAAATTTCCGCCATGGATGGGAACTCCCTTGACCTGAATCTGAGAAATAGTGGCGGACTTGTTTTCGTCTTCGAATTGGTTTTCCATTTGGCTTGAGGGAATGCGTGGCCGGAAGAGTGGCGGGCGCGGCGCTCCTTGTGCTTTTAAGCTTTAGCTTGCCATGGATGGATGCGATTGGGAATGGAATGGAATGGAAGATGATGAATGTCTCAGTCATTCATTCAAAGCAGAAAAGGTGAAAGAGGAGGGAAAGTGCCGCAAAGGCCCTTTGGGGAATAATCCAGTGCGGACAGGAACACGCGGTTCCTACACTCACTACCCCATTTTCAATCCAACACTACAACTTTAACTTTAAATATAAAATTGATATTTCTATTTTAACTATAACTCTATTTTTTATAATATTCTTTAAATATTTTATTTTTTTATTATTTTAAACAATTTTCAAAAATTAAAATAAAAATTTAATTAAAAAATAAAATAAATAAAAATAAAAAGGCAATGATTTTGCTACAGTATAATGCGGAAATTGAAGTTGCACATCAACTCAGCATGGTTAATAGCGCTGGGTTGGAGACTACGAACAGGTTTTAACTCCAAAAATACCACGGTACTTTTACTCTAACCTATAATTATATTTTTTATTTTAAAAATAATATTTTTCAAATATTCTATTTTATATATTATTTTAAATCACTTTTTATATTTACAATGAATTATTATCTTTTAAAAAAATAAAAAAAATAAATAAATCAAAGAATTAATATACACAAATTAAAAAAAAAAAAAAAAAAAAAAAAAAAAAGAAAAGAAAAACTTAACACAGAAAATGAAGTTCCACAGTGTAACACCAAAGCAAACACTATAAATGATGTTAGAAATGGTGCTTGATTGAAGGAGTAAAACTCCATTTATGCAGGTGCATTGGAGATGCCCTATCCTATCACTAACCTCTCAGGTGTTTTTAGTCATTAAATTTTACTTAAATTTTACTATTCATTCATTTTTAAAAAATTAAAAAAATAAAATACTTAGGTGTGTTTGCTCGAGGATATTTGATTTTTAAATAGTAAAAAATTTAAATTTAAATAATAATATGAATTGATGGTAAAATTAATATTTAGTACTCCTCTACTCACTTTGTTTGTCTATTATTTTTATTTTTGTTTGTCAGCACCTTATTTATCATTATTATTAGAGGACGGAGGGAATACATTTTATATATTGTTGATTTATACTTTCATTTATACGACAGTTGTTAAAGTGTTGATTTGATCAAATCAGTAACATGATAATTTTGACTTAATCATTACAAGACATACGATAGATTATCAAATTAGTATATTAAATTGAAACAATTAGCAAATCATTACACGACAAATAACATATGTTATGTTATATTAAAATGTGTGTTGTATGGATCATATTTTGTACTAAAATCAGCATATATTGTATTTCGCATGCTATACTATATATTATATTAATATTTATTGTGTAAATTATATATTGGATTGTATTATGTAATTTAGTTATTGTAAATCAAAATCTATTGGGTTGAAATAATAATTATATTTTACATCTAATTGTATAATTTGCTATTGGAACATTTGTTATTTATTATATTAGTACGTGCTAATTTGTTTTATAAATATTTGCTGATTGAATATATTGTTGCTAAAATTAAAATTATAATATTTTACTATATATAATTATATAATCTGCTATATACTTGTATTAACATTAGCTATTTCTTTTATAAATGTTTACTAATTGGGTTAAATTATCACATATGACTCAATCAGCAGGGTAATATAGTACATTTATATTGTGTAATACCCCTCAATTTCACATAATCTTTTTCTTTAAATTTTAGTTACATTTTAAATTTCATAATTTATAATTTTTTATTTTTAATTAATTTAATTTTAATCGATAACTATTTTTATTATACAATAATTATTTTTACTAATATACTTTTTAACTATTTACTAATTATATTATTTTTTTTAAATTCTCGTACCTACACAACATAAACAATTTACGTGTAACAGAAAAAGTATATATTATGTATTACCGATTTATACCAGTGTTAAAAAGGGACAACTAACAAACTAAAGAAACAGTGACACTTCCTATAACTAACTCACAAAGCTGACACAATTCATTACATTACATTACACTAAAATATATCACAACAGAAATAACAATCTAGATGGACTGGACTAGACTAGACTAGACTAGGTAGCCTCTATATGTATAGGTATATATATATATGGATTTATGTATGTATGTATGTATATATGAGCAGCAGCCATTTCATTCTCTACTATATGTATAAAATCTTGAAAAAGGAAGAGGGAAAATAACAAAACAAAAACAAAAGAAGAAAAGGGATATGTTAAGGCCACATACCGGAATCCAAACGCATCTCGGCGTAAAAAATGAAGGGATTGGCAATTGGACTCCTCATGATGTTCAGACGACGAGTGAGGCGAGTGGCAATTTGTTCATCTGTTATATATATATATATATATGTATGTAAGTACTCATATGTCATTTCTTTGTCGATGGCTCTATCATGGAAATTCGAGAAAGAAATCTAATCTTCGTCGTTTAATGCAGCGAACGAGAAGGGTTTGAATTTGTAGCCATCGGCGCTGTAGAACTTATTTTGAAACTCGACCCAATGGAGACGCAGGGCGTGGAGGAAAGCGCTTAGAGTCTCCATCATGAGTAGTATAAATGCTGTTGCAAATGCAAACACGCACAATCCCACCAACCGGATTATCACACTGTCGTACCTGCATCGATTCAGAAAAAAGGGTATTAAAACAACTCAATCCAAACTTGTGCGTGTGTGTGTTCGTGTGTATTTTTTCCTTCAAAATTAGCTGGAAAAAATGGAGATTTGAGGACAAAAATATGTAATTATGACAACCAAACTTGAATGCAATTAGTTTTTAAGTAATGCTAAAAAGAGTGCAAGAAAATGTCAGACTATTTGGATGTGTTCTTTTTACAAAAAAAAAATAAAAATACACATTTTCCAAAAAAAAGTACTCTCTCTATCTCACCTACTATGTCCACATTGTGATGTCTGTCCGTCCCACATCTCATGTCACTTTCATTTTTTGAAAAATTATTACACACCTTAATCTCATTTTAAATTTTCTAATTTTAATAAAACTAATTAGTTATCTTAATATTAATCCATAATTATTTATATTATAGGATTATACATTCTTAATTATCTACTAGTTATAATTAACGTAAATTCTTGTGTCTACAGTAACCCGAACATGCATGGAACAGAAGGAGTAATATATTATACACATTCATTATTTTTATATAACCTACACAATTCTCTATACCTTACGTAAAAGAATTTTTCAAACCATTTCACAAAACAAACACACCCTTTGTGTTTGGTTGGGGGGTTTTCAAAATATTTTTACTATTTACCAATTTTTTTCCATATAAATATCAAATCAAACTATTATATTTTATTTTTAATATTATACTAAAAATTAATTTTACATTTAAAATATCACATCAACACCTATTTATATAACATCAAACAACTATTCGAATTCAAAATTTTTACTATTCAAAATCCAAACTCAAAATTCAAACCGCCAACCAAACACACTTCTAGTACGAAGGATTTAAAAGGGGATTGAAATGAGTAAAATATTAATGTATGCATTTTTGCAAAAAAACTTACCCCCAAGCAAGGCGGAGGACTTTTTCGTAGAATACAGTCGACAACTCAGAGTGGGCCAAACTGTGGTAACAAAAGGTCGAGATTAAATGTCTAGTAAATGAACAATGAGAACATATTCAGTTAACTCCCATGTTTATTGCTCCTACCTTAAGGCCCATAATCGGAGATATGATGCAGTGTTTGAAACAGATCCCAAAACAAACTCGATGGCGTGTATCATTTGATGTACAAAGACCTCACTAAAATTGAACTCCTCGGGTTGAGGTTGTCTCACAGACTCAGGTTCCTCGTCGTCATAAATTTCAGAGGTTCTAAGCATTCCATATGTCCGGCCTTGAAATCTCTTGGATATGCAGAAAAAAATATCACCAGGTTAATAACCTTTTCATGGTCCTCGAGGACTCTTTAAACGGCCCACAATAAAAGATACTATAATAATTCATTCTACAGAAAATTGTAGTCAGGGAAGGAAATTATGAGACATTTAGAAAGGAAAAAATAAACAGGTATTAGGTTCCAATGAACATTTGTACAAAGAAGGGTCATAAAAAGATGAACAGAATAAAGACGAGAAAAAAAAAAAATCAAACCTAAAGTATAAAAATACCTCAGTGTGCCGCCTCTTTAAAATAAAGGGTTTAGGGAAGAGCATCCACGGAACAGCAATAAGAGCTAAAAGCAGCAATAAAACCTGAAACAAGATTAAAAACCATTAACCTGTGAAATTGAAGAATCAATAAGGAAGCTTTGACACAAGGAAAGAAGGAAAACCCCTGCCCCCTTTGTTTTCACTGATAATAATAAAGGGCCTGCCACCTTTTTCCCATCTCTCCTAAATTTCCGGGCACCAAGAGGGCTCCCGCAGCTCAAATGCGGAAAAATGCTTTTCTTTTATTCCCCCAACAATAAATAAATAAACGATATGCATAGTTTTATGTAGCCTGTAAATATGAATATGGAATGTGATAGTTAAGAAAAGATCCAATTAATAACCATGCCTGCAGCACACTCTGACCCGCGAACAGCTGATTTTCACCCAAGGCTTCAAAGGGACTTAAGAACATGTAAATCATCACATGATATAGATCTGCTTGAGAACCAGTACACCATTTCACAATGATGAGAAGCGAAAGATAACCAAAGAGGCTATTAAGGAAGATCATCTGCGGCACAAACTGAAACCTAGAAGAAAGTAAAGGCTTTTAGTTTCTATAGGAAAATCGGAATAAATGGAACAGCTGACTGAAGCAAAGAGACAACATACTTAATATCAAGTGAGTTGCCAAAATATCGGGCATTAAAGTAACTGAGTATAATTCCCAGATTCATCTGAGCAACACCAAACAAGATAGACATTTTCATTTTCAGGGAATTCAAGAAAGCCAACTCAGAACGACTTCCACGCCAACTTGGATCAACACCAAATGGATATGTGTCTTGATACTTAATTAAACCAACTGAACGAGCATCACTGTTAAGAAGAGAGAAGGAAACATTATAAGTTTCATAGTACCTCGAAAAACTGAAAAGGCACCATATATATCACAAAATAAGAGAAAGGGGACAATTATAAATGACTGGGGAGTTGGAAAGATAAATGAAATAAATTTTGGAGAGTTAAGTAAAAATCACACACACCAACACATAGCTAACTCTTTTTTACTATCAACACTAGAGTGTATAATATGTATAAGGACCATAACATCAAATCAGCAAATTGGTTCTACCACAAACCAAACCCAAATCTTATTATCAAGCCCCTAAGCTCCTTTGGCTGTAACCGGTTTATCTGTAAATATTAAACATTATTCTATCTTTATTTCCTAAAAGTACTGCAAAAGATATGGATCAGTGCATCAAAGATGGTCTAGTTATGGTGGCAATGGCGAGCAGTGGAAGGAAGCTAGGTTTATTAATCTCGTGCAGCAATAGTGGGGTTGAGAAATTTTTAGGCTTGTTTAAATACAAGGAAATGACACAACATGGTTTGACAATTAGGGCTGAGAAATTTTTAGGTCTGTTCAAATACAAGGAAATGACAAGACATGGGTTTGCATATTAGGGTTGAAAGTTTTTTTAGGTTAAAAACTAAATAAATGAAATAATGGTATTAAGCATAGAATTTCCCTTTCAGAAACAATGGCATAGGGCCTCTTAAACTAAAATCCATATACACACACACACACACACACACACACTCTTAACAAAAATGTAATATAATAGATAGTATATATCAGATTTTATCTTCTAGCAATCCTCTTTTTCTTTTCTTTTTTTCTTTTTGTGTGTGTGTGTGTGTGTGTGTGTTGGTTTGGAGTGTTTTTCCTCTGCCTCCTACCCCTTGATCCAATTGTATATATCAATTCACATACAAGCCCAAAGATGGTGTCATTTATTCAAAATTAGCTTCCAAAATGTCAGATGGAACTAATAAAACTATACAACTAGCAAGCAAGAACCTAACAATAACAAAAATGCTACAGCAGCTCATTCATTATTTCAAACTCCATGATGACCAAAACCACTAGTCATTAAAGAAAACCACTGGTTCTTGATGGTTCAAAATGTCCTGCTTTATTAGATAAAATGTTATAGTAGTAGAGCCTTTAGCTTCCACGCTTTCCCTTGTAATATCAACAGAATTCCACTTAGTTTTCCACATCTTCAATAAAATTAGTGTATTTCCACTTTTTTCTTCTTCTAGGTTTTCTTGTTTCTGTTTACATTGGTGTAACAGAGGATGACAATGAACAATTTTTAACTATAGATAGATATTCAATTAACCGAACCTACTATACGGAACAAAAATTAGGTACAGATACTTACCTACATGAGTCATCCCGGCACTTGTAGGCAGAACTACCAAAAATGTGGGAAGGTACGGAAAAGAATTCATTGTATATCAAGCCACAATAAATTGAAAAAAGAGACATCAAAAAGAGGACATATCGGCCACCAAATAGCATCTCCATGAAGCTGCCAAGTTTCTGATAGAAAGAAAATTTGCATTATACAGAGCCTCATAAAATAAGGAAAAAGGAATTACATATAAATTAAACTAAATAACAAAATTGAGGACCTGCATTGACATCAAAAACTTCCTGATGAAAGAACAGGTTATTTCAGTTAATTTCCTAATCACCAGACACAACACCTACTTGACAAGGAACTATATCTTCACTGTTGCATATAGAACACTTGACAAGGTTGAATCTATGCTAGGAATTGTGCAGCTTGCCATTTTGGATAAGTTCACTTTTCTTTTTTTCCCCCTAGATCATTCAGTTTACAACACTTCTAACCAAGCTAGTACATAATGAAAAATTCCACAAATCAATGATGCTTGTGAAATTTCTTTTGTAGATTCTGATTATTTTGAGACAAGAAGAGTATACAGCCTGGTTTTTCCTAGAGTGTTTTTCCGATCCTCAAACCACATAAACAGCAGCCCAACATAGTGCATTACATGATATTGGATAGCTGATTTACTATTGTTAGATACTAATTAGAGCCATTTATTAGTATTAGGTAGGTTTGTGATTTAATATATTTGTGTCTTTATGAGTTACTAGAAGGTATAGTTGATTCATCTCCATCCTTCTATATTTAGATTGCCTATAAATGCATGGGTTATGCATTGTGAAGGATGAGGGTCTAATACAATCTCTTTATCTTCCTCCCATTTCATGTTATAAAAACTTTTCATCAGCTGTGGTGGAAATTATTACTCAAGTCATTTTAGGGATTCAAAAATATTGGGGTTGTCCATTAAGAAGAAATTTTTTAGTCAATCCAAACAAACTGATGAGTACCGATACCTTAAAGAATTCATCAATCATCAGTAAAGAATTTCTTGTTCAAAAGGTTATGTAGAAAAATTGCTCAAACTTCAAGCAGAAAGAGGAAAGAGCAAAATTGCTTTCACAAACCCCAGTATAGATTATTTAACCAATTTTTTAAAAATTTACAGAGCACAATGGTATACCTGTGAACCAAGCTTTTTCTCACGAGCAATAAGAATCACTGCTCCTAACAATAAACAAAGGCCATGACCCCAATCCCCAAACATCATAGCAAAGAGAAACGGAAATGTCACAATAGCATAAACTGCAGGATTTGCCTCCTGGTATTTAGGGACCCTGCCCAGTAGATTTGAGTCAGTGTCTTGTAGGTGTTTGACTAAGCAATTCAAGCAAAGGAACTGCAAATGACAGTATCTGTATGTTCATTCATTTGAGTAATATCATGACAAGTCTCCCACTCTAGCGTAGTATATCAGATTCAATAAACAAAATTGAATACCAATGATGCAATTGTAATAAGTGATTTATTAATCACTCTCATCAAGCACTTGCTAATTGCCCGTAAATTTGCACAGCTTCAGGGGCAAGCTATTTTCAATTATAAAACAACTTCTCCTACGCTTAGGTTCCCTAAATTGCAAGAGTATTAGGTCCAAAAAATGCTACAGTATTAATAACACGTCTAAATATTAATTCCAACTTACAAATAAAGCATGTTATAGTATGGATTTGATCAGACAAGCATTTATATGAAAAGAAAGGGGGTGCAGTCGAAAGGAACAAAATCGTTCTTACATACTTACCCATATGCATCGACAATTTCTTGATATGCATTTGTAAAACAATTGGTCTTGAAATATGTTGGAGGAGACTCAACCGAATCCATTTCATGAAATATCACACCCACTTGTGAGTTACTATCAGATGTTGCGCGTTGAAGAGCTTCTTGAATCTGAAATATAAAAAATGGTATCTCATGCAATCAATATGGCATTAATGAAAAGTTGATCCATGTATCTTCATAAATAAATACCAGATTAAATTGTAAAAATAAAATAAAATACCTTTGATTTTGCAAATATGGGACACCAACCTTCACCAACCAAACACTTTTTGGTGACATCAAAATTCAGCATGTTTAATGTGTCATATATTGCCTTTTCCATTCTCACCTAGAGAGAGGTCAGAGAATGAATTGGAATCCCCAGTAGCAGACCTGTGCTATTGAGATTAAATGGAAGTAAATATAAAACCCATATACGATACCATATTCATCCACTCCACTAGGTGAAATCCAAGGGAAGTGAGAGCCTTATTACGATGTAGGAGGCCAGCTTCTAAGGTGGTTTCCAGCTCAGACAAATGTGATAAAACCTGTACATAGAAAGTAATATACAATGTGTTAGATGGAAATCTAAGACAATGCCTACAGCCAGAAGAAGTCAGATCAACTAAGCATTCAATACTCCGATCAAAAAAAAAAACTAAGCATTCAGTACTTCAGAACTACATAATAAAGTTCTCATAAATTCAAATGAGTAGATTCTGGTACAACTAGAAGAATTTCAGAAGTAGCCAAGTAAGTACACTACTTTGCAACCTTAATCTGTAGGTGCATAACTTGCAAACCTTGGAGGTTTTGTTAATCTCATAATCATATACAGAAATCACAAGCATATAATTTGTAATGATTGCAAATCTCATCGTCAAACATACATCATGGTGTACAATTGGTAATGCTCAAGTGTCATTTGGTCATTTCTAATCAATTTTATCCAATTAAGTATATTCCATTCAGGCTAAGTCTTCTTCTGAATCAAGTAATATAGGAAATATAAAAAATACACGGATTACATGTGCATAGTATTATCCAACATGTAACAGAACCAAAATAGACAATGAAATCCTGTTAAGAACATACTTCTCGAGTCATTTGCCTCCTCTTGGTTAAGTCTTCCGGAACTGGATAACAATTTGCACCAAATGCTTCACATATTCTAAGGATTTTTATTCTGGCCTGCTCTCCCGAGAAGAATACAACAAACACTATTTTCTCAACCTGCAGATCATATGCATTCAACAGCTGAACATCAATTTTTTGAAATGTTTTTAATATTGATTAGTAAAATAAACAAAATAAAAATATCTTTTAACAAGTTAAATTCAACTAAAGGAAATAATGCAAAGTTCACAATTCAGAAGCATACTAAAAATACCAAAATCAATTCATTTTACTCTTATCCTGTTTCTTTTTTGCTTAATAATTTTTTTAGTCAACATTTATGTATCTTTTTAATATATTTTTTTATAGTCATTATAACTGGAAGCATCTATTCTCATTATGTATGTATATGTGCAAACAACTAATATAAATGCAACTAATAGAAAGTATATGTATATATAACTAATATAAATGGAACTAATAGAAAATATCAGTTGTGTTTATTTATTTTTATTTCCAACATTTTATTACTCAATCTATTATTCTCCCTTAAAATATATCACATCTAACACCCATTTTATATATAAAGCATCAAAGCCAAACAAATAATTATTAATTATACTAATAAATTATAAGCACTGACTGTTCAATAAATCAATTAATATATATTTTTACATTAATATACTATTTTAGTGGACATTATCATTACCATAAGTTCAAAAGAAGAAATGAAACTGCAATAACATTTACTGGAGAAAATAATTCAAATACTAAAATGCATGCTCATAGTATCGAAGACAAATAATGGGAAAAATAGAAGTCAGTGGAATAAATTAGTAAGCATAATAGGCTAATTATTGAATTAAGTCTATGAGATGACATTAGGAATATCAATTTTTTATTCTTCTTTTTGTGTCATAAATTTAGTATAACAAAAAACATGAGATACAATACCATTTCATTTGACACAGGATCCAGGATTTGTACATCAGCTGTTGTCTGATTGAATAGCATGTTGCCCCTCGTTGTCCGAAACAGCATCCTCTCAAACCTCAAAACTTTAGATTTACATATTATCCCACTTATAAATCTTATGCCAGATTGATTTGATGGTCCAGGTTGCATCTCCTGAAAATTAGATTTTTTCCCTGAATTCAGAAATAGGAGTATTGAGTAAATAGTCTAAACTGATTGTTACCTGTTCCAGCAGTGATGACATATCCCCATAACCATTGTTCATATGGACATTTTCATCTAATTCGGTCTCATTGTCTGCTCCATGATTTCCATTGGATGAAAGGAAGTCCCCTGCCTGGAATACCCCCATGTCAACAAATACATTCAAGGATTCTATGAATGACAAAAATATTTAAAAAGCTACCATGGTTTCTATGTTTCAAAATCTTGAAGGGAACATAAGAGGAAAAAGTATTATTATCAAAGGGAAAATAACAGACTTTGTCTTTTTCTCTTCATCAATTTTCAACATATTCCCGGATGCGCTAATGGGGTTGCAGGCTACTTGGGCAAGTTCAGTGCCAATAGAAATGATGAGTTATCTATTTGGATGCAGTACCGCTCTCTGTCAAACTTTATATCAACAAAAAAACCATTTTTGTGGTAAATAAATAAATTTTTTCCATGACATGACAATGGGGGTGTGTTCTTTTGTGTCTTTTGTTACTGTTCTGATCTGTGATTTTGGTTTTGGTTTTAATGTTTTTCGGGTGGAAATAATTATATCATGTGATGTTTTTTTATAGAAGATTGATGTTGAATGTGAGATTGAATAGTTTTTTTTAAAAAAAATGAGCAAAATGAGAAAAAAAAAAAAAAAAACACAGCCTAGATATAAAATTGCTTGCTGAAATTATAAGGAAAGCTACTTCAATAGCTTGACCATATACCTTTTGTAGTACCATCTTGAACTCAAGCAGCTCGTTATATGTTTGCTGCAGTTTCTCACTATTGGCATTCATTTCAAGCAGCCCGTGTTCATGCTCTGCAAGTTGAATCTGAGATTTATAATAAAATTGTCACTGATAAAAACAATAAGGAAAATAAGAACTGACGTAGGAACATTAAACAAAATCACAAAAATATAAAGGGTATATTTGTTTATTTTCTATACTAAATGGATTAAGGTAAGCCATTATTATTAATATGTTTTGTACAGTTTCACCCCTCCACAAACAATACTTCATTTTGAACTTTGAAGCTGACTTTAAAATCGTACAGACTTGATTTATTTTTCCAAGTATTCACATTAATTATGTAATAAAATATTTTTAAATACTTTAGTTGTAACTTCTTGTGTTCCATGGTTTATTCTTATTTCTTTCTTTTTTTGGAAAGAAAGGAGACTTTATTAGTGTAATAATAATAGCAATAATTAACTACAAAGCTTTAGGAATAAAAAAAGGGAACCAATACTGAAGCAAATCCAAAAGATACAAATCATTCAGACTTAGCTCTAATAATATGTATAAATCTTAAGATAAACTTTATAGCCAAGCAACGAAGTCCTCTGCATTTGTAGCTCCACACTTGCAAGGTAGTCAGCCAAATTATAACTTCTTTTATTCCATTTTTTTTTTCGAAAAAAAAAAAAAGAATAATCTTTAATTGTGGGTTCATTATCATTTGCATGTCCGGCTTTAAGACTTACTTTAGAAATAATATCCTGGGACTGTGTGAAATACCTCAGTTATATTTTTTCATCATATCTTCCAAGTTATATACATGATATATCAATAGATTATATGATACAAATTACTCTATGTCTCCAATAGTGCAGGATCAGAAGTTTTACTAACATAATTGTACACTTGTACAAGTTACGCATTCTAGTAAAATAATTTGATTGAGGGTTAACTAACTATACTAAATGCACTAAAGAAAAATGGATGAAAGTTGAATCTAGATGGGTACACATTTTAATCAAACACAATGGCAAATGTGGATGCATCCAATGTCACAAATGCATAGTAGAAAAGAAAGGAAAACAAGAAGAAAATAAAAGAACTTTGAAGTAATTTTGATATAATAACTTCTCAAGATTGACAAAATGCATTGGGAAAAAGGAAAAATGGAAACATACCTCCAGTTCTTCAAGGTCAATATCAGGTAGGGAAGCCGGACCTGAGGACGGTGTCAAACCAGCTTTATGTATTTGTTCTTTTATAAACCGCAGCTTCCTAGACATCTCAGCACATCTTTTGACCTGTACAATACCAAAAATGAAATTTATCTAACAAGTAGGACTGCGTCAGCACCAAAAGATAACGTCCTCCCCATAAAAAGTGTAGGAGAATGATTCACTCCAGTACAAATGAAAAAAATGAACAGGTATTTATGAAGGTCCATACCAAAGAAAAACTTTACAGACATGTAAAATTGGCCAAAAATTGAGGGCATGCATGCACAGTCATGCATACGAATCAATATAATGACAAAATGCCAAAGAAATCTGAGATGTTTAACAAAAACACAATCGATTTGATAAGCAAATAATTGCATAAAAAACTAAGATCAGACCAGAAAAATAATTAACTATCATTAAGTATTATGTATAAATGTCTCCATATTTCAAGAAATAGTATAGGAACTCTGCAACCTTTAGGAGAATTCATTATATGAAAGTGTCAAACGGTTGTGTTAGATGATGTAAATAACCGTCTGCATTTGCATGGAGTATCTTTGATATAAAAGGAATCAACCCAGCAATGTGCATGCACCACATCATTCTTGAAGTTGAAGCCAAGCCGTGAAATAGCCTTAGCGGCGCCTCAACGAGAACATGCAAGAGATAGTGAAAATTGAGGTAATTAAATTATTCTATGCAGGTATAATCTATCCCATCAGCAATAGCCACTGGTCAGCCCGAACCAAATGGTCCCCAAGAAAGGAAGATTTGTTGAACAAACTGATGAACAAGAGAATGTCTTTACAACAAGACCAGTTACTGGAAGGAGAGTTTGTATAGATTACAGAAAGCTGAATGCCGCCACAGAGAATGATCATGTCCCTCTGCCATTCCTTAATCAATGCCTTGAAAAGTTATCCGGCCACGAGTACTACTGCTTCCTGGATGGTTACTCAGGCTACCATCGGATTCCCTATGCCTTAACAACTTCGACAAAGTGCTGCTCCACTGCATTGAGACTGGTCTCGTATTGAATTAGGAGATGGCACTTAATGGTGAATAAGGGAATTGTTCTAGACCATAAGTTCTTGCTTGCCGTAATAGGGGTGGACAGATCCAAAGTTAATGTAATCAGAAGATGATAGCACCAAAGAATGAGAAAGTTGTAAGAAGTTTCCTTGGACTTTCTATAGAAGATTCATCAAAGACTTGAGAAAAATCACATAACCGCTCACAACGCTTCTATGTAAAGATGCAAAATTTGAATGGACAAGGCTTTCCAGATTCTGAAGAAAAAGCTCACCACTTCTCCCATCATTTCAGCGCCTGTGTGGAGCAAGTCATTCAAACTTATGACAGATGCAAGTGATTACGCCGTCGCTGCTGTCCTAGGCAAGAAAGTGGAGTCCAAGCTAAATGTCGTTTACTACGCAAGCAAGACACTGAATTCTGCCCAAAGAAATTACACTACAACTTAGAAGGAGCTGCTCTTTCAAAATGTTCAGACAACACCTGATTGGAAGCAAGACCGTAGTCCATACACACCATGCAACGATTAGATACTTGATGGAGAAGGAGACAAAGCCTACTTGATCTGTTAGGTTTTATTGTTCCAAGAATTCGATAGTGAGATCAAATATAGAAAAGGAAAAAAAAAAATTCATGATAGACCATCTAAGCATATTGCATCAACCGGAGGACATCACCGCAGGTATTAATGCATTACATTTTCCTACTAATGATGCCCGCTCAATGATTTGTTTTATGTAGAACACATTATTTCCAAAGTTTAGAGTTCCCATGACCTTAATATGAGGGCACCCATTTTGTGAATAAAGTACTAAAGGGCTGTCTCCACCAATATGATGCTCAACATCTGACTACTCCTTATCATTTTCAGGCAAGCGGTCAAGTGGTTTCAAATGATAAGGACACCTTTCAAGTCAATACAGCAGTGCTGAAACCTCATATTAAAGGGCATGTTTTGAAACAAGCCGAAGCAGATATAAATCTGATTGATGTTTAGTCGGTTGCTCCAGAATCAGAGTGAAATCAAGACTCAGAATTGCCTAATTTTATATCCACTCCAATGTTTATACCTCAATGAGGTCGAGGGATCAATGAAGTCTGCTCTGTTACTGTTTTAATTTACAGTAGTTTTCTGTAATGTAAATTTACTGCTTTGTAGTTCTTAATGAAATATCATTTTCTTCTCCACTTCTATCTTCATCCAAAAATTCGTGTTCATATTCGGTTGTTTAAGTCTTGATTCTTAATAAATTGTGGAAGTTCTAGAGAATGATTAACCATTTAAGCCCCTAATCGCATCGCAATTAACATAATGCACGTAGTTCGTAACAGTTAAGTACGCCAGTAACCAGTAAGTTTATAAATACTACCATGTAATGTAATTTCTTCGCTATAGTTTTAGTGCCTAAACAATTAATTACCAAAAGAAGGTAAGATATTTTTCTTGAATTATGTTTTTTTTTTTTTTTTTACCTTTATCACCTTAATTATTTTTTACTTGTTACCATGGCACAATTATCTGAAATTTTTGGAGTCATCATCTTATCACCAGACATAATCAATCAAACAGAAAATGTACAACCTAAAGCAATGTATTCTATGTTATCGAGAAATGGAGATGTGTATCAGCTGCATAATCTGTGAGTAACCAGTAATTTGTTAAATAAAGTAATAAACAAGCAGTATTAAACATGAAGCAAGATCGTAAGTTAATTTCAACACAAACTCCAGCCACTTGAAGGTAACTTTTACTTTCAACCAGTATTATTGATCCTTCTGCGTTATAAACATACGAAAATTGCACTGTTCTTCATTTCCTCTGGTCAACCACCAACTCCTGCTTTTTTACCTTTCTTAATCATATTTCATATATTCTTTCAGAAACAACCTAACAACCACTAAAATATCTCCATCAATAAATCAATACTGATGAAACAGGGTAGAAATTAAATTAAAATTGAAGTAGCAGTTAACTACTGGAAGTTGAGTTCTCATGGTAAGATCAGATTCCAAAATATTTTGTAGTTACTTTTATCACTAGGGAAGAATCAAACAATGGGTGAGAATTGAAAAAAAAAAAAAAAACTGAAATTGCATTTCATACCTGATTGACAAATGTTCGTTGGAACGGGCTTTTATCATCATTTAACTGTGAGTTCAAAATGGCAAACTTATGAGTGTTGCATATATTAGAAAAAAACAACAAACACAAAATCTACATAAACTCATTTCCATCAAGATTTCTGAAAAAACAATTCCCAACAGCTGTTCAAGGAAAGAAGGGCAATAGCATATCATAATCAATAACATTTTCAGCTAAATGTCAATGTCAATATCAATAATTATCCTTTACGAATAAAACTGCTTCAGTCATAGCAATATAAAAATGTATATTGAAATATGGAGTCTAGCTAAACATTGGCAAATTGGAAAATCTCCTATATGTCAGTGTTCTTTTTCGTTTGTCCTTTTTGGTTGTCCATTTCAAACACCTTAAGTCGTATATGCATTCAATGCATTATTCCACATGAAAGCAGTTGTTATAAACCTCACCTTTGTAATCATTAAGGCATATGAAAACCAGAAATTTTGGCGAAAAGCAAGATGCAATTAACAATGAAAATTCATCAGACACTTAATCATTCCAAAAAACCACCATTTCAAAGCCATCAATCTCCCGAAATTGAGAAGAATTCAGAAACTTATCAAACAAATAAAGTCGAGTACATACTAATCGTCGTCGCAAGAACGAAATCAAAAGAACGGAACATTGAAACAAAGATCTGAGCGTACGTCGCGGAATTGGATAAGACCGAGGTGGCCGAGATAAGAGATGGCGCGGTGAGCCGACTCCACGGGGATAATGAGCTGCACAAGCATCATCTTCTCGGAACGCATCAGATCCATGCTTGGCAATTTGTCTATAAACTCCATTTCCCGTCGAGCACCAAAACGCTGCCTAATTCAATACCAATTGGATCGCACCGAATCGCTATGTTATCTTCTTCAGATCTGAATCCGAAATCAAGCTAATGCACCATTGCGCTTGTCTGTGATATTCTGGTGCGTGGAAAAACAAAGCGCGCGGAGAGTCCGCATCGATTGCGGCGCTTTCACCTTTACATATGCGTTTTCGCAACCTTAACGGCGACGGCGACGTCGGTGGTGGCGGTGGCGGTGGCGGTGGCGACGTCGGTGGTAATTTACGGTCTGGTCAGGTCTGAGGAGGGGAAGAGAAAGGAAGATGGAATTCTTCACCGTGTGGAAAAGAACGGTTACTCGGTCAACTTTCCAAAAATATATATGCTTATATACATATATATTTCATTTTATTAGTATAGTTTTTTTAATTATGTACGTTTTAAAAATAAAAATATTTATTTAATACTACTATCAATTTTTTTTATCAAATTAAATATTTTACTTTAAAAATATTAAAATTTAATATTCAAAATATTATTAAAATATTTGAAGAACCAATTTATTGTACTCCCTTCGTCTCATAACTATGTATTCGTTTGTTTTTGACACGCAGTTTTAGAAATATTAATATTATATTAGGATGTAGTAAGAATAAAATAAAAATAACTAAAATTATTGTGTGATATAAAAGTAATGACATTTGTGTAATATATTGTAAATTGTAAAAATGTTTGTAATATTAGATAGATAGTACAATTAGTTTTAAAAAATAAATATTTTATTATGGAACTGACTAAATAAAAAAATGAATAATTTGTTATGAGACGAATGAAATAGTACAATAAAGTAATATTATTACATAGTAATATGAATTGTGTTGATTATAAAGAATGGCAATACCCGATTTATTTAGCATAATAAAGTGGTATGATATAGAATGTATATTGATTGATTATGTTGATGGGAAGAAGTGATAACACAATGGTGGAAAAGGAAAAATCAATTTTTTTTAGTACAATAATGTGATATAACATGTACTTCCTCTATCCCATTGGAAGAATGGTATTTGTTTTTTGGACTTAAATTTTTGAAAATTAATATTATATTGAATTGTAGTAAAAAAGACAAAAATACCCTTATTAATATAGTGTAATATAAAAATAATAACATTAGTATAATATATTATAAGTTGAAAAAGTATTTATTATATTAAATAGGTAGTACAATTATTAAATTAGAAAATGATAATTCTGGGATGGATAAAAATAGAAAATAATAACATTTCAATGGAACAGGAGAGTATTATGTACTCCCTCGTCCCACTTACCATGTCCGTTCGTCCACATCTCATGTCACTTTCTTTTTTAAAAAATAATTACACATCTTAATTTTATTTTAAATTTTCTAATTCAATTTTTTAAATTTTAATTAAACTAATTAATTATCTTAATTTTAATTTATAAAAAATTATATTATAAATTAATTATTTTTACTAATATATTTTTAATTATCTACTAATTATAGTTATCATATTAATTAAAAAAAGTGACCATACAAAATATAACATGTATTATGTATTAATTATATTAATTACAAGAAGTGACAGTACAATACTTGAAAGTCAAATTCTTTTGGTAAAATAGCAGGTATTGAGTATTAGGGTGTGTTTGTTTGAAAGAACAATTTTCAATCCACTATTCATCTTATTTTTTTTTCCAAAAGTATAAAGTAGAATTGGAAATGGGTTAAATGGGTTAGCGTAGGGTTTAGGGTTAGTGTAGCAGACCCTGCTAAAATAGAGAAATATACCAACCCTGCTAAAATAGAGAAATATACCGTGAACCTGCAATGCAAAAATGAAATTATGAGTTGTAAATTATCTAAGGATGCGTTTGTTTGAAAGATTTTGGTGAACTTCTACTATTCACAAAATTTTTTTCCCCTAAAAACATCAAATCAAACACCTATTTTTTATTTTTTATATTATACTAAAAATCAAATTTACATTCAAAATATCACATCAATTTATATTTATATCACATCATACAATTACTCAAATTCAAATTTTTTACTATTCAAATCTCAATCCAAAATCCAAACCCCAAAACAAACACACCCTAAAATCATCTCTGCAAAGTCTACAGTATCTGGCAATGTAACCCATCTCCCACTCCCGCCATGTCTTCTAATTTTACATACACTAAAAACTCTTCAATTCATTTGTAAATATTAATACTAATCATAAATAAATATTTATATTTTTTATTTATTTATATTATATAAAATCTAATTTAATATCCATAACTCATTACTCTGCAGAATTATGAATCGCAGAGGATCTTAGACCACTTATAACTCATAACTCCATTTTTGAATGGTCCACAGTAAATTTTTCTATTTTTGAAGGGTTTGCTAAACTAACCCACCTCAAACCATATCTTCTATTTTTGCAAAATTTCTTCTTCAATCGTACTCTTCATTTTAAATAAATAAATAATATACTATAAATATTAATTACAAAATTATAATAAAAAATAATAAAATTAAAAGTAACAAAAATAAAATAAAATATATAAAATATAAGATTAAAACAAAATAGAAAAGAATAAAATAAATAAAATATAAAAATATAAACAAAATTTAATTTTTTATTTTGTTGATGATATTTAAAAAATTAAAAAATAAATAAATATAAAAAAAAATAACTACATAAATAAATAGATAATATTAAAAAGTAGATAATTATATAAATAAATAGATAATTTTTTATAATTGTATTTTAAAAAAAAAATTCACCCCGCTAATTCCAGTCGGCAGGGTGGGCAGTAAAATTCTGCAAAATTGCATAATGGATTTTTTTTTTCCACCTGCAAAAATAGAGAAAAATCCCCTCTGTTCGAGATGGTATTAGCTTCGTTCTTCCCACGGCAAAAATGGTGAAGAGGGCAACAAACATTGCTTCGGATTCCTAACAAATGTCACTGTTACCAATAAATAAAAACTCCATAGAAAAGGAGTTTCTAAGCAAAGAGATCAGGCGACAGATCTGATATCATATACGTCCATTAGCATTCAAAACAGGCCATTAATCTCACCTGCTTTGCCAAGATGGACTCAATCAATTCAACAACAACATGAAGAAAAAGGAGAAGATAAACAAACAAATTACTCAAACTTACTGCAAAAAAAAAAAATGTTTCATCTCTACTGATCTGCAACTCCATTGATTTTAAAGAAGCCGAGAACAGTTTAGAGTGACATTTGATGTTCGTCCATTAGCATTCAAAGCTGATCAACGCCCGAAGGCTCCATAGCTTTGCCAAGATGGACGTCTAACCGTCTAACTGCTACTCCAATCGTTTATCGCGAATTCAGCAAAATCCGAAATCAAATTTCAAACAAATGATATTATCATATTAACAGCAGAAACGATTGTAAATTTCTACTTCCACGGTACTGAAGCCACCGATAGGAAACCAAAATCACGCAAAACGAGTTCCGAGCACGTACGTATCATAATAGCAAAGTATTGATCCAAAATTACAGAAATGGAAATTGAGAAGAGGCAGAACTGCGGTATCGATGTATTAGAACGCTACAGATCGGCGATCGGTACCGTCTCCGGAAGCGGCCATTGATGCGCGCTGTTTCATATTGAATGAGCGCATTGCGAAGAAAAACCCTAGAAAGTTGGGAGTTATATAGACATAAATGGGCCTTAACTATTGTATTGGGCCCATCTTATAATCCACTGAGCTCATTTTTCACCGCTTAAAAAATATTTTAGGTTTCGTATGTGTGAAAATTTTAATTTAAATAATAAAATTTTGAATTTAAATAATTATTTAATATTTTTATTAGAGTCCTGTAAAGATAAAAAATTAAATATTTTATTAAAAGTAGAAAATAATTGTGGATATTTTAAAAATTTTATTTAGTAATTTATGATGATTATGATAAAAGAAAATGTAATAAAGTTATTGACAATTATAATAAATAAGATTGTGTTTGTTTTTGGGTTTGGAGGTTTGGGTTTGAATTTTTTAATAATAAAAAGTTGAGATGTGATATGAATAGATATTAATGTGATATTTTGAATGTAAAATAAATTTTTAGTATAATATAAAAAAATTAAATATTTGATTCGATATTTTTTTAAAATAAAAGAAAGAAAAATCTAGTAAAAACTTTGTAATAAAATCTATAAAGGAACAAAATCTAAGTGTTAAATATAAGATAATAGTTTATTTTTAAAAATATGATTTTGTCAAAATAATAATAAGCTAAATTTACAAGACTCGACAAAAAAAATGAAAGTAAATTTTGCAAAGACTAGTATAATATAAGTAGAAATTATCATAGAAACTGGGTGTGTTTATTTGAGATGTTTTAATTTTGAATTTTGGTTTTGAATAATAAAATTTTTAATTTGATAAGATTAATGGAATAAACTGAATTTCTCAGATTATAATTAGGGTACAATGTTATATATAATATATATCAATCTATATATCAACATCCCTTCAAACTCAAGGTGGAATCCAACTTGAGTTTGCTCAATAATGACTGAAAATGGCCGAGAAGATGAGGCTTGGTGAAGCCGTCGGCAGTATGATCAGCAGCAGAAATGGGAGACAAGAAGATGTTGCCATACTCAACATGATGACGTCCAATGTGACAATCGATCTCAATGTGCTTCGTACGCTCGTGGAAGACATCATTCGTCGAAATCTTCATGGCGTTCTAACTGTCGCAATGAATAATAGTGGCAGAGGACCGAGACACACCGAGATCAGTCAGCAGCCGGTGAAGCCATAGAAGCTCGGTAGTGGTGTCGGCAAAAGCTCTATATTTGGACTCTACACTGGACCGGGAGACAACCGTTTGTTTCTTGTTGCGTTAAGAAATAAGCGAGTCGCCAAGGAAGAAGCAAAACTCGGTGGTCGAGCAGCGATTAGAGGGATCTTCCGCCCAATCAGCTTCAGAATACCCGGTATTGGAAGATATAACCTGTTTAAGAAGAGCCTTCAAGTCCTGAATCATATGAGGCGCAGACGTAGGCATGGCAGAGGCTGTAACAAATGAGGTATTAAACTGATGAGGTCCACGAACATGCCGAGACTTGGAATTACTGCTACTAGAGCGAGACGACCTAGTAGGGCAATACTGTATAATATGACCTAAAACATGACAGTAGTGACACTCCACCTTGGGGCAGTGATCGAAGTCATGATCAGAAGATGAACATCGTTTGCAGCGGAGGGGACGACTCTGAGTAGGAGTTCGGGCGATGACCGCAAGAGCAGAATCAAGCAAAGGAGCCTTGGCTAGGTAGAGACGAGTTTCCTAAAAAAAAATCTCATGAATAGCTGCATCCAAGGTAGGAAGTGGGTGCCGATGTAATAAAGAGGCACGAACTGCCTTATACTCTGGACACAAAGCCATCAAGACCTGAATGGGGCGAAGATGATCAGGACTGATCTCAGCCTGATCCAACCGATGCCAAAGGGGTTGCACTTGCGCAAGGAAGTCGTTGACATATTGTCCTGGTTCATGTTTTAGATCATGGAGAGTACTCCATAGCTGATAATAGTGCGCCAAACCAGTAGCACGGAAGCGGACTGCCAAGAAATCTCAAGTTGCCTTAGCAGTTTCAAATTGGGCAAGCTGCACATGTATCGCGGAGTTGAAGTATTGCGCAACCAAGTAAGAATCTGATGATTCTTAGTGTCTCAATCCTCAAATTTTTCAATATAAGATTCAACAACTTTGGCGGTAGACGCAACTTCTCCTATAGAAACCGGAGCAACGGGAGCAACTATATCCCCTGTAACAATCCGCCATAGCTTCCTTCCTATCGGGAAGCTTTTCATTGATTGTGCCCACAAATTGTAATTATTTCCGGACAGGACAACACTTATCGGAATATGAACATCCATATTTTCCATAAAGAAAATTTCAAGTGTAGACAATATCTCAAGCCGAAACGACAGAAACACAGACAAAATCGAATCAAACCCGGAATACGAAAAATCAGACGAATATAGAAAACTGCTCAAACAAAAAAAGTGAGATACAGAGTTCAAACAGAAAAAGTGAGTATACCATCGCGGAGGAAATTAAATTCCGAATACGCCGGTGCAAAAATCGCCGGCAACGGCCGCCGCACGCGCCTCTACGCGCCGGCGAGGTGTTCGGCCAAAAACTTTGTCGGGTGCATGTGAGGCTCATGCGCCGCCGTTGGCCGAAATGTTCCCGATTCCGGCCGGTCTCGTGGTGGCGGTGACTATCGGCGACAGTCGGAAATGTGCGATTTGAGATGCGCAGATGGTATCGCTTTGTTCGGGTAAAATCATAGTTGTGATACCATGTTAGGATTAATGGAATAAACTTATGATACAATGTTATATATATATATACAAAAGATATATTAGGCAATGATATATATTAATGTGATATAAATATATATTGATGTGATGTTTTAAATGTAAAATTAAATTTTAATATAATAAAATAAATGAAAACTGAATCTTTAATTTGACATTTTTCAAAAATAAAAATAAAAATGAAATAATAAAATGAAGGGTGAACTCTTACAAGTAAAGAGTCTATCATATTTTTCAATAATGTAATATAGCAACAGCTAAAGATCCGTACAGCATACCGCACACAGACACTCCAAATGCAAATCTCCATCAAGACAACTATTAGTTAAATTCTTCTCTAACAGCATAAAAATTTCGACGGAACTTAACTTTCAAAAAATACTTACAGATACTTCTGTGGCTTCTTCCACAGCACCCCAAACCTCCCCAGAACCCTCCCATTCTTCTTCTTCAGCATCTCCTCGTCGATATCGTCGACGACCACGTACGGCGCCGCCGCATTTATCCTCATCGTCCGCCGGCAGTAGCTGCTGTCCATCGAACCCGTCCTCTCGATCAAATTCCGGCTGTTCCCCGCCGCCAGCATCGCCGTCGCTGCCTCCGCCGCCTTCCGCCACTGATCCGACTGCACTTTCAGCCTCCTCAGCTCCCCTTCCAGCTCCGCCGACGCACCTTGCTCCGCCTCCAGCTGTTCCGTCACCCGCGCCAATTTCCGATCGCACTTTTCGACTTCCTCCGTTAAGTACCCCACCTTCATTACCGCCTCCCGCTCCGCCGCCTTCGCCGCCGCCAAATCGGAGGCGCTCGTTTCACCAATTTCCTTTATCCGTAGCTTCAAGTATCGGTTCTCGTCGCATGATTTCGATAGCTCGGTTTCCTTGGCCAAAAGAATCGATTTTTTCGAGTCTATTTCCAATTTCAATTTCTCTAGTTCGTGCTCCTGACACCCCGACGTCGCATTCTCTAACCGTTGAACAAGATCGTCGTTCTCATCGCAAATGCCATCGAGCTCCGTCTCCTTCTCTATCAGCTTTGTCTTCAGCTCCTCGATTTCGTATTTCGACTTCCGTAGCTCCGCCTCCAGCTCGGCCTCCCGCTGCCCTGACGCTGATCGTATCCGTTCCGCAATTTCGACGGCATTTCTCATCTCCTCTGCATGCCTAGACCGTTCTTCGTCGAACTTCCTCTTGGAAGCTTCTAAAACCGATCGTAATTCTTCGACCTCGCGTCTTAGCGAGTCGACTTCTGTTTCGACGGATTCCAGGGCATCTTTGCATTCGATCTCCGCCTTGAGGTCTCCGACGAGCCCTTCGAGAAAATTCACGCGATCCCTCGATTTTTCGAGCTCGAACAAAACCGCGCCGTAAGCTTCCGTCGCTTTATTCCCCTCCGTTCTCAGCGTCGACACTGTTTTCCTCGCCATTTCGAGCTGCATTAGCGTTTTTCCGATGAGTTCTTTCGCTCGATCTTCGGATTCTTTCCGATCCGTCAGCACGTGCTTCATTTCTTCCACCGTCGCTTTCAGCTTCCGGAGCTCCGTATCGCCAGCAATTCCGAGATGAATTTCAAGCCGTTCGATCTCATCCAACGCCGCGTCACGCGAATTCCGGCTTCGGACAACCTCGGGTTCAGACCGCAACGTCCGATCCTGTACTAGAATGCAAGATTTCTCGGCGATCCGCTGCTCGATTTCCAATAGTTTCACAGACAGCGCCGGCAGCTGTCGGTTGGACTCCTCGGCATCTTGCAATGCCCGATTCTTACACAATACCGACGTACGTAATCGATCCTTCACGACACAGAGTTCGGATTCGAGCTCGGCAATTTGGTCCGAAACTTGTCGAATCTCGCTCGATGCTCGTCTGGCTTGATTAGCGGACGAGGCCGTCGGCTCTAAGTACCGGGGACTCGTCTTGAGCTTTCGGACAACGGAGGGAGAATCGTTTCGGGACACGGAAGGATTAGGACAAGCCTCCGAGGATGATAAGGCTCGAGGAGATCTCCTTTGGTTCGAATCCGAAGAATTGGCTCTGCAAATGTGCAAAAATTAAACAATGTAATCGACGGATGTTAAACAGGTTTAATACAAAGTTTACAGTACATGTCTTGGTTAAAGTTTGGAAGAAAGTTAAAGAATCATAGCTCTCTTTACTTTTAGGGCGTGTTTGTTTGGAGGATTTTCCCCGAATTTTACTATTCATTCAATTTTTTCCTCTAAAAAATATCAAATCAAACACCTATTTTTTATTTTTTATATTATACTCAATGTCAGTTTTTTAAAAAAAATCGCGACTATAAATACTTTTTTTTTCTACCAAACATCATCCCAAATCTCAAGTCCAAATTCCAAACAAACATACCATACCCATAGTTCTCTTTCTTTATCACATCATCTTATTTAAGCTTAATATTATACACCTAAATTCTCAAGCCGAAATCAAATATTGTATCATATTTAAAACGGACGAACTATTATTTATTTTTTAAACTTTAGACATTGTTCATCACACACATATTTCCTTCTCACAAAATATTTTAGGAAATTTTCAATATTTTACTATTAATAAAAAATTTCAAAACTATTATTTACATAGACAATTTTGAAACTTTCATAACATTTTTCTAAAGAATGATCATATCAAAAGTCATATTTTTTTATTTTTTTCTATCACAAAATATCAAATAAAAAATTCACACCTTTTACTATTCCTAACAAATTTTCAAAACTATTATCTACATAAACATTATAATTTTTTTTAACATTATTATTAAGCTTTTAAAAAAATATACTACTCCGTTAGTTACCATTTTCACTCAAATATCAACTTTATTTTATTTTTTTACAAATACCCTCATTTTACCATCTTTGCAGTTACTTAAAAAAAAAAAAAAGCAAATTTGTTTTACATTATTTTTAATTATACATTATAATTTTAAAATATTAGTATTATTTAATTTCGCATCAAAATTTAATTTACAGCTAAAACTAAAACAGGAAGAATGGAGTATTTCACATCAAATACTTAAATTTTTACAAAAATATATATTTTCTCTTGTAAAGTACTCTCTCCTTCCAGCGACAATGACCTTTTTTTTTTTTTTTTTTTTTTCTTTTTTTTTTCTGTCCCATTAAATACGATCTATTTCTAATTTAATAAATTTATTAATCTTAAATATATTTAATAAATATAAATCAATTTAATTAAATTTTTAACTTGGACCATTCAAAACCCTTTTATTTTTATCTCTTCCCTTAATAAATAAATATTTTTATTTATATTTAAAACTTCTTATTTTTAATAAAATTAGTTTTAAGTTAATTATAAATAAATTAATTAATTTTTTTATCTATTTATATTATATAAAATTTTATTTTCTACAAAATATACAAAATAATATTCATATTTATATATATATATATATTTTATTGATATATAATATTAAAAATATTTAAAATGCCAGTAACACTGTTCATATAAAAAATTAAAATACCTAAAATATCGTTTCTTAAACAAGGGATCCGGGACCGAGGGATTATAAAATTTATTTTAAATACAAAAAAACTAAATTTTACAAAATCAAACTCAAAGAAATAGACCCTAAAATCTGTATCTAGTCCGAGCAATATGTAATAACCACCTCAACGAAGCAACAGAAGCCCGTAATAAAACCGTATCCATAAAAGCACGATTCAACACAATTTGGGTGGGGAACATTTCAACAATCATTGCAGCCATAGAAGATGAAGAGCGATGAAATCATGACAAGTTTTTGTTAAGGTCAAATGAAGTAATGATTCAGGCAAAAGCTACTCGAGGAATTTTCGAATTCGGCCACCGAAAGCTTACCTTACTTTAGGAGTCTGCATCATATCTGAACTAAAATCCTTCCTATTACGCTATGTTCTTCAACGCCTGCAATAATGGCGAAGTACAGAAAGAAATATCACAAATCGGATGCCTGAAATCGAGATACAACGGATCAGAACAATCAACCAGAATGTAAGAAAAATTAACAGAGTATCCTAATCGACGGATCTAATCCTATAATGCTTGTACCGATGAAGAAAATGTTAGAACAAAAATGGCGATGTAAGAAAATACTAGAAGAAGATGAAAAACAGGTTTGGGAAAGTAGCAGAGGTTATTTTACAGAGAGAAATTAAAGTCTGTTTCTCACTCATCCATCCAATCCACAATCATTACAGAGAGAGATTAATAGCTGTTGGAACGTTCCATGGCATTGATTTCTTACTTTTGCAAGAACGAAAATGGTAAGAGAGAATGGATGAGGATCAACAATGGTTGCCGGTAGCCATTGCCATTGCCATTGCCATTACCACTGTGGATCTGATGAGAGTAATTATTGCTTCAAAAAAAGAGTTTGTTTGGTGTTCCAATCCTCCCTGTGCAGTGAGGCGTGGTCTGTCACGTGGTGGGTGGGACTTGTCGTTTTACCATATCGCTCTCATAATTACCACTCTGACGTATCACTCAGCTTACACTATTTATTTATTTTTATTTTTTATTTTTCACTCCTGTAACAAATTATTATTTTTTACTTGAAAATTTAGATAGAATATAATTAGTAAATAATTAAAAAATATATTAGTAAAAATAATTATAAATTAAGATTAAAATAACTAAATAGTTTAATTAAGATTAAAAAAATTTATATTTTATATTTTAAAATTTAATTAAAGTGTATAATTAATTTTTTAAAAAAGGAAAGGACAAATTATATGAGACAGACAAAAATAGAAAATATGAACAAATTATGTGGGACGGAGGGAGTATTTTTGATCAGTTTGTATTCATTTTATTTTTTTTTAGTAATGGTATTGTCTATCTAATAATGTCTGTCTCAAAAGTATAATTTTATTATGTTGAATACGAGATTTTGAAAATATTGATATTATATTGACGGTTAGTAAAAAGTATGAATAAATGATTTTTTTGCCTTTGTGATTATATTAGTGTAAAAAGTAATAACAATTGTGTAATAATAATAAAAAAGTAGGGATAGTTTTACGGTGATATAATTATTTATGAAAATGAGACTATTGTCTTGGGACAAACAAAAATGATAAACAAAACTATTGTATTGGGACAAAAAGAGTATTACAAATATCTTTACAAATAATAATATATTACACAATATTAATAAAGATATTTTAGTCATTTATACTTTATTCCTACTACATATCAATATAATATTAATACATCTTAAACTCAGTGCAAAAAGCAAATTAATATTTATTTAAGAGACGGAGAAAGTATTATTATTACTATATCCGTAGAGATGACAATGGGTGGGACTCTAGACCTGAGATCCGATCCGAATACACATGCCTGGATCCGAATCTTGAATCGGATCCAATTGTACTCAAACCTGACCCGAATAATACATTACAAGACCTAGCAAACCCGAATTTATATTTACATTTCTTAAAATTTAATTTAAAATTGGATCTAAACTCGGACCCGGACCCGATATACATTAAAATTTATTATATTTTAGGCAAAATGGCATAAACCCGCATGTGGTTTGATGAATTTGCTGAAAACCCCTCGTGGTTTGAAAATTCCATAAAACCTACTTGTGGTTTTTAAAATGTTGCACACTCGTCAATTCCTTTTAATATGCACTGACGGTGTTATATTTTATATAAACTAACCGTTATGTCCCTGCTTTAAATCTAAATTAAATCCAAAAATTAAAATTTAATTCCAAATTAAATTCTCAAACCCAAACCCACATGTCTCTGTCTCTTTACCCCTCTCTCACCGACGCATCTTCTCTCTCTTTCTCTCTTCTATCAATCCATGCTCATTCACTGGGCGCACATGCAGCCGCCAACCACCACCCACCGGCATTGTCTTTTTCTTCCTCCACTGTCGCCACCGCTAGTGCCGTCCTTCACCGCTGATTTCATCGCGCAACTCATTCTTCAGCCACGAATCGCCGTTGCTAGCAACCGACGCATGCCCCCATACCGATTATTCATTTGGTCGCCTCTCTCTCTTGTTTTAATTTCATTTATTAATTCCATCTAAATTTTTCTATACCATGAAAATTTTTTAGATTTCTTGTGAAATTAGTAAATTCTTAGGAAAAAATTTAAAGCTGTCAAATTCTGAAATGAATTTGATTTTCATTTTGTTCAAAGAAGGATTTGCCATTTGAACCAATTATTTTTACTCAATAATATATAAATATGTTTGAATAATAATAATAAAAAAAAAAAAAAAAGAAGGAGAAGGAGAAGAAGAAGATTGGTGATGGTGATGTGTGGTGGTCGTAGGCGGCGGATAGTGAAAGAGGAGATGTGCCCTTTTCGATCTATTCCATCTAAGAAGATGAATTGGAAATTAGATTATTAATATTAATATTATTATTATTTAATTAGGTTTTTTTAATGTATGTAAAATGATTAAAATAGTCCTTTTTGAGATGACTTCATATAGGTATTTTGTAATTTTATATACTTATATATCAATTTTTGTATAAAAATCTCAGTCTAAGCGCATGATACGTACTTTCTGTTAAGTCCTAACTGAAAACGGTTTTTTTTGCTAACGTTTTAAAAATCACAAGTAAATTTTATAAAATTTTTAAACTACAAGTAGATTTTATAAAAATTTCAAACCAAGAGTGTAACACCCCCAGTTGGCTCATACTGGAAATGCTACCGCCACACTGCATCATGAGGTCGTCACCTCCTACTTCGGGCCCCACAACACAGTGTTAAGGCTAAAATTAATTATATAAGCATTTTATTATTTCCAAAAAAACAAGTTTATAAATATTTACAAAAACATACTCCCAAAACGGGAGGTTTTTCTAGTTAGAATTTACATATAATACATCAGATGCAGTTCACTCATTCAGCCCGTCTTTCTATCTCCCGAGACGTCCCCTGTCCCGGAGGTGCCATGCGTACCTGAATCGAATATTTTTCTTAAAAGCAGTCTAGAATTAAATCCATTTTAAGAACTAACATAAAATATGCCATGTCATGCTCGAAAATAGAGTTTAATTTCCGTCATTTGCAAAATAAATGCCATGCCATGCCCATACTGAAATAATGTAACAATAATGTCAAAATCGACAACTCATGCACATATACCCATATACATATGGCAAAGTGAGCAGCCGGAATAACCTCGGCTCCATAATAACAGCTCACTAGACTATCATCAATAAATAGCCGGAAAATCCTCGGCTCAAGGAAGGACCTGGTAAACCCATAATAATATAACGGTCACCCGGTCACTCCCATATACCCACCATACGACTCCCGCAATCAATACATGGATAGTCGAACGTTGTCGCCATTAACCACAAGACACCCCATAGTCTGTGATAGCGAAGATAGGACCCTCCTGTCTAGCCCTACCCCGTGTAACGTAGTAGAATCCGTGCAACCTGGAATCACCCGAAGGAAACCCGGAAACTCTACTCCTCCTCGCACGCCCTAACGGGATCGCGTTTGGAGTTTGGCATCTGATCCTAAACTACCGGTAGACCTCACTAGTAGCTACTCCAATGAGTGGAACAACACCGAACACGAATGATTAGACCAAATACGTCTCAACTGCAATGGGTCTAATCCCTGAATGACCGTGCGACTAAGTCACCCAGTTGTCCAACTACTATCGTCCACTATCGCCAAAGTGTTACGGTACATCGGGGTCGAATATCCTAACCCCAGATGATGCCCTCGCCTAGCACTACCGCACACGGCGACTAAACGATAGATCCATAAAACATATCCGATAAATCGTGCGATGTGTGCAGCATGTCAATAAGTGAATTTAATGAAAAGGGCTGGTGAGACGGCCCACCTATCCTCCTTTTCATAAATTCACCAACACGATCAAATACGTATATCAAATATCGTAAAACGAAGTTTCACACATGCATATACACACACATATATACATATATAGATGCACTGACCAAATGATTCCACATAATATCATATCAATATCAGAATCAGAATCACATGCAACATAAATACCTAATTTCTTAAAATTAGATTTAATTCCCTACTGCTTACCTCCTACCGATACTTTCTGGATTTTTATAACTTCACCCAAATCTCCTCCAACGTACGCCTGTCCCATTATTTACTCAAATCAGATGAGCTTTATGCTTATTCTCAGGAGCTACCTGCTTATTCAAAAGCTAATTTTTATAATTAACTCGTCGGGCTCCAAACTTTTATATTTAGTAGAATATGATATTCTAGCTATAAAATCCTTCTACCTCATAATATTTATATTGCCCGATTATTAAATAAAAATACGCAAAGGTATGAACAAGCAGGCAGGTGCGATATACTGCCGTTTTTTATTCGACTTGGATTGGTACGAAATTCTCACAATATAATGTCGGCGCTACGAATAGGCTATTAGCTAAAGAAATTCATCGATTAAATAGCTAAATAGCCAATTTTGAATTTTTGAAGAATTTCTAATTTAATACTCCAATATCAAAATTCGTATTAAAATTTATAATCGGACTCTACGAATAGCAAGGAATACCATACCCAAGTCGGAATTGGAATCGGACGGCTAAATCTTTTTCTTTCTTTTTTTTCTTTCTTTCTCCTTCTTCTCCTTCGCGTTTCTTCCTCTGCCTTCCTTCGCAGGTAAGTTTGTTATATAAATATATATAATTATATTATTATTATATATATTATATTATATTATATTATTATTATTAACGTTATTATTATAAATATTATCTTTATCATCATTACCTTTATTATTATTATTATATTATTATATTTTATATTTTATATTTATATTTATCAATATTTATCCGTTTAACAGTCTATTTAATTATAACTAATATACAAAATTGGAATATAATTTATCCCAAAATATTAGTTTCTTGATTCCATTACTATTGTCAAATATTTATTTGCTATAATAATATTATTTTATACATTCCGAAATCGGGGCATTACAATCCACTCCCCTTAAAAGATTTCGTCCCCGAAATCTAAACTCAAACACATAACAAGGCAACTTAATTAAACAATTGTGGGTATGCTTTGAACATTTCTTGTTCTACTTCCCACGTGGCCTCTTCCGCTCCATGTCTGGACCACATTACTTTCACCATACGAATATCTCGATTCCTCATGGTTCGGACCTTTGTGTCCATGATCCACAGAGGCTTTTCTTCATACGAAAGATCTTCATTCAGCTCTATCTCATCTGGAGATAAAATATGAGAAGGATCTGCAACATACCTACGAAGTTGAGATATATGAAACACATTATGGATACGCTCCATAGAATTTGGAAGTGCCAACCGATAGGCCCAATCACCAACTCGATCGACAATTTCATAAGGTCCAACATAACGCGGACTCAATTTTCCTTTAATCCCAAACCTTCTAATACCTTTCATTGGGGATACTTTCAATAAGACAAAATCTCCACTTTGAAATTGACCCTCACGTCGGGCTCTATCGGCATAACTCTTTTGACGATCTTGAGCTGCCTTCATCTTTTCGAATCTTATTTTTCGATTCCTCAATCATTTCCGGACCCAGTATCAGTCGATCACTCATATCGTCCCAACTCAAAGGAGTTCTGCATTTTCGACCATAAAGAGCTTCAAAAGGAGCCATTCCGATACTTGCTTGATGGCTATTATTATATGAAAATTCCACTAAATCCAAGTGGTCTTCTCAACTCCCTTGAAATTCCATAGCACAAGCTCTTAGCATATCTTCCAGAATACGGATAGTTCTTTCTGACTGACCATCAGTCATAGGATGGAATGCAGTACTCATATGCAACTGAGTACCAAAGGCTTCCTGCAATTTTTGCCAAAATCGAGATTGAAAACGTGGATCACGATCTGATATGATCACCTCAGGAATACCGTGTCGTTTAACCACATAATGAACATATAATTTGGCCAATTTCTGCATGCTCCAAGTCATACGTACTGGAATGAACACTGCTGACTTGGTCAATCTGTCTATAATTACCCAAATTGCATCTGTTCCCGACTTTGACCTTGGAAGTCCTGTTACAAAATCCATTGCGATAGAATCCCATTTCCAGAGTGGAACTTCTAAAGGTTGTAGCAACCCCATTGGTCTATGATGTTCTGCTTTTACCTTTTGACAATTTAAACATCGTGCAACAAATTTGGCTACATCCTTCTTCATGCCCTTCCACCAAAAATGTTGACGTAGGTCATGATACATTTTATTTCCCCCGGATGCACTGAGTATGGTGTATTATGAGCCTCACTCATAATCTGCTCTTTCAAATCATTTCGATCCTTTGGGATACACCACCTCCCGTGAAATCGAAGACTCCCATCTGGAGCAATATTAAAATTTTGAGTCTGACCGTACTGAACTTTCACTGCAAGCTCAACCATTTTATTATCTTCCATTTGAGCCGCTCTAATGCGATCATAAATTTCAGGCTCAACTTGTATCATTTGCAAATATCCCCGAGTCATACCCCGTCCAAGTACCTCAATTTCCATCCGCGCTAAATCTTGGCACAGTTCATCAGCAACCGACATGAAGCCCAAGTTATGCCTTGGTTTTCGACTTAAGGCATCGGCTACAACATTTGCTTTGCCTTCATGATACACAATTTCAAGATCCTAATCCTTCACCAATTCTAACCATCTTCTTTGTCTTAAATTCAATTCTTTTTGGGTGAAGATATATTTCAAACTTTGATGGTCAGTAAATATTCTGCAATGGGCTCCATAAAGATAGTGTCTCCAAATCTTCAAAGCAAACACAACTGCTGCCATTTCCAAGTCGTGTGTCGGATAATTCTCTTCGTGAGGTTTTAGTTGTCGTGATGCATAAGCAATAACTCTTTGATTCTGCATTAAGACACATCCCAATCCCTGCTTCGAAGCATCACTATACACTTCAAACTCCTCACCTTCCACTGGTAAAGCCAAAATTGGCGCTGAAGTTAATCGATGTTTCAATTCTAAAAAGGATGACTCACACTCGTGATCCCAGTTAATCTTTGCATCCTTTTTCAGCAAATTAGTTAATGGTTTTGCAATCTTCGAAAAATCAAGAACGAATCGCCGATAATATCCTGCCAAACCCAAAAAGCTTCTTACTTCTGATTGATTGGTAGGTCTTGGCCAATCCATGATTGCCGCCACTTTAGAAGGATCTACTGAGATACCCTTTCCAGAAACAACATGTCCCAAGAAAGCAACCTCCTTCAACCAAAACTCGCATTTGGATAACTTGGCATATAACTTTCTTGCACGCAATATGTTTAATATTACATGCAAATGTTTTGCATGCGTCTTTTTATCTGGGGAATAGACCAAGATATCGTCAATAAATACCACCACAAACTGATCGAGGTATGGTTGAAAAATTCTATTCATCAACTCCATAAACGCAGCCGGGGCGTTAGTCAACCCAAAGGACATAACCGTGAATTCATAATGCCCGTATCTAGTCCGAAAAGCTGTCTTCGGAATGTCATGCTCTGCAATCCTTAGCTGATGATATCCAGATCTCAAGTCAATCTTTGAGAATATAGTTGCACCTCTCAGTTGATCAAATAGATCATCAATCCTCGGAAGAGGATATTTGTTCTTCACCGTGACTTTGTTCAGTCCACGGTAGTCGATACATAACCTCAAACTTCCATCCTTCTTTTTCACAAATAAAACTGGAGCTTACATCCAAAGTGACATACTTGGTAAATATATTCATTGTCCAGCGATTCATGAAATGACAACTTAACCATGGGGAGCTCAAGGGTACTATCTGATGTAGGGTTCTTATCACTCCGCCACACTTGGGCATAGCCTGGAAATATGACCACTACCACCACACTTAAAACATGTTAATGGAACTTTATCACAACAGGTACCTAAATGACTTGTTCCACAACGTCGACAAACAACCCCCGATTGTTGAAACCTCTCTTGACTCGGTTCTTTAATCGAAATCCCTTTATATGATGGCCCCGACCTGAATATTTGCCACCATTTATTTTTACCCTTTGGTTCATCCTCCACCTTAGATTTTCCTTTATCTCAAAACTGATGTTGATACCCCATTTCCTTCTCACTGCCCTTCTGTCTGACTTCCTGCTTCTGATAGAATCGAGCAGCACGCTCGTAAGCCTCATATAACGAACTGATATCCAACACCGCTAAAGCTTCTTGAATTCTGTGTTGCAACCCGTCTACAAAATGGTCAATTCTGTCTCGCTCACAGGAAAAGTAGTCAGGAACATACATCTCCAACTCATTAAACTTCACAAAATAATCCTCAACTGACATCGAGCCCTGCTTTAAGTCTAGCAATTCTTGCTTCTTCGCTTTTCGAATATGCGACGGTATAAACCTAGCCTTTAACTTTGCTTTAAATTCATCCCAAGTCATATCCACTTGGTCTACACCTGCAGCTTCTTCACCTAACCACCACCGATTTGCTCGGCCTTCCAAGAAATAGGCTCCAATATTAACTCGTTGATCTGGCGGAACCTGAACAACACGAAATATCTTTTCCATCTTTTCAACCCAAAACTCAAGGACTCCTGGCTCCACTGAACCAGAATATGTTGGTGGGTTATGCCGCATCACAGCATCAATGAAACTCCTCTGTTGAGGCATCATCGCGGCCATAAACTGCCGAAAGAAATCCTGACTAGGTGCCTCTATTGGTACATGCGCTGGCACAGGATACTGTGACTCATCAGACGAAGGATCAAACTCTGGGTCTTGAATAGCCCTACGTACACCACCACCTCAAGAATTCGACATACTGCCCCCAATTTTTCCTGATTCAATATCAATTCAGCACACAGCTAAACCAAGCATAACAATAAAAGATAGATCACATTAACATGAATGCACCCGCAAAACCCAAACCTCACCAAACCAATTCAATATCATTATTATTTTCAAAACCTTTTTAATTCAAAGAGCCAAAATCTATCAAACCTAGGCTCTGATACCAACTTGTAACACCCCCAGTTGGCTCATACTGGAAATGCTACCGCCACACTGCATCATGAGGTCGTCACCTCCTACTTCGGGCCCCACAACACAGTGTTAAGGCTAAAATTAATTATATAAGTATTTTATTATTTCCAAAAAAACAAGTTTATAAATATTTACAAAAACATACTCCCAAAACGGGAGGTTTTTCTAGTTAGAATTTACATATAATACATCAGATGCAGTTCACTCATTCAGCCCGTCTTTCTATCTCCCGAGACGTCCCCTGTCCCGGAGGTGCCATGCGTACCTGAATCGAATATTTTTCTTAAAAGCAGTCTAGAATTAAATCCATTTTAAGAACTAACATAAAATATGCCATGTCATGCTCGAAAATAGAGTTTAATTTCCGTCATTTGCAAAATAAATGCCATGCCATGCCCATACTGAAATAATGTAACAATAATGTCAAAATCGACAACTCATGCACATATACCCATATACATATGGCAAAGTGAGCAGCCGGAATAACCTCGGCTCCATAATAACAGCTCACTAGACTATCATCAATAAATAGCCGGAAAATCCTCGGCTCAAGGAAGGACCTGGTAAACCCATAATAATATAACGGTCACCCGGTCACTCCCATATACCCACCATACGACTCCCGCAATCAATACATGGATAGTCGAACGTTGTCGCCATTAACCACAAGACACCCCATAGTCTGTGATAGCGAAGATAGGACCCTCCTGTCTAGCCCTACCCCGTGTAACGTAGTAGAATCCGTGCAACTTGGAATCACCCGAAGGAAACCCGGAAACTCTACTCCTCCTCGCACGCCCTAACGGGATCGCGTTTGGAGTTTGGCATCTGATCCTAAACTACCGGTAGACCTCACTAGTAGCTACTCCAATGAGTGGAACAACACCGAACACGAATGATTAGACCAAATACGTCTCAACTGCAATGGGTCTAATCCCTGAATGACCGTGCGACTAAGTCACCCAGTTGTCCGACTACTATCGTCCACTATCGCCAAAGTGTTACGGTACATCGGGGTCGAATATCCTAACCCCAGATGATGCCCTCGCCTAGCACTACCGCACACAGCGACTAAACGATAGATCCATAAAACATATCCGATAAATCGTGCGATGTGTGCAGCATGTCAATAAGTGAATTTAATGAAAAGGGCTGGTGAGACGGCCCACCTATCCTCCTTTTCATAAATTCACCAACACGATCAAATACGTATATCAAATATCGTAAAACGAAGTTTCACACATGCATATACACACACATATATACATATATAGATGCACTGACCAAATGATTCCACATAATATCATATCAATATCAGAATCAGAATCACATGCAACATAAATACCTAATTTCTTAAAATTAGATTTAATTCCCTACTGCTTACCTCCTACCGATACTTTCTGGATTTTTATAACTTCACCCAAATCTCCTCCAACGTACGCCTGTCCCATTATTTACTCAAATCAGATGAGCTTTATGCTTATTCTCAGGAGCTACCTGCTTATTCAAAAGCTAATTTTTATAATTAACTCGTCGGGCTCCAAACTTTTATATTTAGTAGAATATGATATTCTAGCTATAAAATCCTTCTACCTCATAATATTTATATTGCCCGATTATTAAATAAAAATACGCAAAGGTATGAACAAGCAGGCAGGTGCGATATACTGCCGTTTTTTATTCGACTTGGATTGGTACGAAATTCTCAAAATATAATGTCGGCGCTACGAATAGGCTATTAGCTAAAGAAATTCATCGATTAAATAGCTAAATAGCCAATTTTGAATTTTTGAAGAATTTCTAATTTAATACTCCAATATCAAAATTCGTATTAAAATTTATAATCGGACTCTACGAATAGCAAGGAATACCATACCCAAGTCGGAGTTGGAATCGGACGGCTAAATCTTTTTCTTTCTTTTTTTTCTTTCTTTCTCCTTCTTCTCCTTCGCGTTTCTTCCTCTGCCTTCCTTCGCAGGTAAGTTTGTTATATAAATATATATAATTATATTATTATTATATATATTATATTATATTATATTATTATTATTAACGTTATTATTATAAATATTATCTTTATCATCATTACCTTTATTATTATTATTATATTATTATATTTTATATTTTATATTTATATTTACCAATATTTATCCGTTTAACAGTCTATTTAATTATAACTAATATACAAAATTGAAATATAATTTATCCCAAAATATTAGTTTCTTGATTCCATTACTATTATCAAATATTTATTTGCTATAATAATATTATTTTATACATTCCGAAATCGGGGCATTACAAAGAGGTTTTCAACAAATTCATCAAACCAACCACATAGAGAAAATAATAAAACATAAATATACTAAACTAAAAATATATTTTTAATACAATTTATATTATTAAAAATTAATTTATTCATGTATATAATTAATATATTAGTAATATATTAATTGGGTTCGGGTTGGGTCCAAGGCCCGACCCGCACCCGATAAGGGTACACAATATCCGACCGGGACATGACCCAATACTCGAATAATTTGACCCGATTTCAAATAAATAGCTCGGGTCTGAGTTGGATCTCGGGTCCACCACGAACAATTGCCATCCCTATATATATATATATATATATATATATGCGTATAGCTAATAAAGAGTACTCATTCTATCCTATAAGAAAAATTTTATTTTCTATTTTGTAAAAGATAATATTTTGTGACCATGAGATTATGGGTTTAAATCTCGAACGCTTCAGATCACCTGCTATATATGGTTCGCCCTGGTGTGACTTTCTACCCCACATTTTATTTCATAGCAACTTGAATAAAAAAAAATAAAATATATAATTTCCTCTCTACCACGTTCCCTAAACTAAATTATCTACGTAATACTGTCCATTTAAAATATCGTGTCGAAATCAACTTATTTGGAACTAAAAAAGATAACTTTTAATATCATGGGCTCTAAGCCCAATAAACCACCATACAAATCTCCATTGATATGGGCCTCGACAGAAACGAGCTTCGGTTGAACTGAACTGCAAATCACATTGGAAAAGTCAGTTGGGAACGAAGGCGGTGGTAGTCGGAGCGGCTGATTGACGCATATAAAGCATCGTCGTTCATCATCGGAACACGAACTGTGGATTCTGAAAATGCTGCCGGAGTCTGAACGAACAGCTTTGGGAGGAGGCGAGCACCGCCTAGACTAGACCAGCCGGTCAGTATCCATATCCAGACAGTGATCGGCATTGGCGGCGAGTGATTAGCCATTGTTGTTGCTATTTCATTCCATGCGTGATTGTTTTACGACACACGACGTTTACTCACTTGCTACGATTAATTCACCTTTCAGTTGAATTCGATTCGAATCAGCAGCAGCAGCTTAGGAGCAGAGCGGAGCGGAGGGAGGTTGCCATTCTCTTCAGTGAATGTTGGTGTCGCAGAGAGTAGTTTGCGGCTTTGCTCGGGGTTACCGTTCTTCTTTGCCCTACCCTTTCTCCTTCACTCTCACCCATTCAGTTTTCTCCTTTACGATGCCTCGGCCTCGCAACCAGGTATTTCTGTTTTTGACATTTGTCTGGATGATTGGTTAGTTTCAAATTTCAATTATATTACGCTGGCGCTTGCTTTTTGGGTGATTATAATTTATAGGGTGTTATCATGTTATGCTTTATCGCTAGAAATCTGTTGTTACTGTTTGATCGATCATTAGGCCACAGATTTTTACGAGATTGTTCATTTATATTTTTGAGCTTGAGAATGTTTATATTTGTTATAATCCACAGTGGCTGGTCATTCTCGGTTGATAGTTTTTCTATTTTTTAATAAAGTGGCATTGGTGCTAATTGTTAAGATTTTCTTGTGAATTTCAGCGATGTGGAGTACAGAAAGGGCAGAGATGGGTAGAGAAATCAAAATCTACGAAGCCATTTACTTCCACATCGAATGCTACTACTGAAGCTGTCACCCAAAAGCTTGATGCACTGAGTGTTTCAGAAAGCAACGGGCGATCTCTTCTTACCGGTGGCGTACCTGTTCAAGAACAGAAAGCTATATGGAAGCCCAAGGCATATGGAACAATATCTGGACCGACAGCAGTTGCTACTAATAAAGCTCCAGTTGATCAAAAAATGGATCAGGGCACTGCAACTCAAACAGAATCTTCTACTAAATCTAATGCTGTTTTAAGTGCGTTGTTTGGTGGTAAATTAGTGGAGAGCTTTACTGTTGACAACTCAACATATTCACGTGCACAAGTCCGAGCAACATTTTATCCTAAATTTGAAAATGAGAAGTCCGATCATGAGGTATGTTGTTTCAATACACTTCTCTTTACCTGGATAAAACTCGATGAATTGGACTATTAAGGTTGGAAAAGAAGTTCCTTAATATTTTAAGATGTATGGGATTTGATGTTTCAAGTGATTTTTTCTTGATTATAATGTCTTTGGTTTAATGATTTGGTGTAGACATTATTAGGTCAACAGTTGGGTGAATTGGGAATCTTTGTCTTTGGCAGTGATATCATATTATGTACGGTAATAATTGGTGTAGGTGCTGCATTTAAATGACTGATTACCATTGTGTCCTTCTCACAGATTCGGACAAGGATGGTACAGATGGTGTCCCAAGGCTTAGCTACAATGGAGGTAGGCTTCTGAGCTCTTACTGCAGGCCTTTTCTTGTCTGCACTTATTACGAACCAACTCTTGATTAGTTTAGTACTGATCTGGATTTTTTCTTCTCATTCCTTGACTTTGCTCTTACTGTTTTGTGCTTATTCCATGCAACTGTGTATTTGTTGATTCACCCTTATCTAATAAATTCTTTTGTGACATTGCTTATTTAACAGGTTTCTCTCAAGCACTCTGGATCACTTTTCATGTATGCTGGGCATGAGGGGGGAGCATATGCTAAAAATAGCTACGGGAATATGTGAGCCCATCTCTGATGATCTTTGTCCTGAACTCTATATTTTGCTATTCTCATTTTGATGATGCATGTTTCTCATCATTCTACTGTCCACATGGATATAGATATGTCTAAAGAGGCCCCAGTCTTGTTTTCTTGTTAACATAGAGTGTAGATCCTTTCATTCCAGTCTGTTGAATGTCATATCTGTTCCATATGTGGTTGCTTATTGCATCTTCCGATTGCTCTCAACTATTGCTCGTTGTGCATTCTCAAACATGTCTGTGTGTGTGGGGTGCTGATCGCTTGTGATAAGCCTGATGTTGGGTTAAGGTATTGGGCAAGGACAATTTCTGCTTAGGGCTAAGTATGCAGTTTATTGTCTTGTGTAACCTTCAACATGGCATACTGAGGGTGGGGCTGTAGATGTTCTTCAAAGAATAAACTGCACAACAATGTCTGTTTCTTGTGGTGTGAAAATGCTTAAAGTTGCAGATAAGACCATTTAAATTTTAGTTCAATCAACAATATCATGGCTTGTTTTCACTTATCTGTAGCGGTTGTGTTTCCTTCCTACTCAAGTTCCCTGAGATCCTTGCATGTGCTACAGTTACACTGCTGTCGGTGTCTTTGCACATGGAAGTGTGTTTCATGAAGCTTGGGGTTCTACTCAACTTTCCTTTTCTACTCAAGTTTCCTGAGTTCCTTACATGTGCTACAGTTACACTGCTGTTGGTGTCTTTGTACTTGGACGTGTGTTTCGTGAAGCATGGGGTTCACAAGCCACAAAAAAGCAAGCTGAGTTCAATGAATTTCTTGAGGTAACTTTTTACCTGGTCACTTAAAAGATGGAAGTTGCCTGAAGTTTTTTAACTAGATGTTAGGAGCCGATCTTTGTTCTTTGTATACCTTGCATTCTTCTTTCTGCTTAACCAATGACATCTAAATGTCCAACTTGTTTGGTAATGGAGTAATACTAGGATGAGGCCTGTAGCCATCACACTCTAGTCATAGGTTTATGGCTTTGATGTGGTTATTCTAAGTTTCAACCCATGTGCTTCTATCCTCTCTCTAATTCCCTTATGCATGTGTGGATCCTCAGAAATTCATGCGAGCTACTTTATCACCTACTTTAATATTACATTAGTTTGCTCCTGCATATCCCTACCGGTGGGTTTGTTGTATGAGCATCTGTGAAGTTTTTTAGATGCATACATCATTGTCTGCAACATCACACTCCTTTTCGTGGCCTTGTTTTGTGATCTCTATATCATATTGTTCTATTCAGCGTAACCGTATGTGCATATCCATGGAGTTGGTTACCGCTGTACTAGGAGACCACGGGCAGCGCCCTCATGATGATTATGGTAAGAAAGATAAAAATGCCTTTTTGATTTCATATTATACACTGACCAACAACTATATAATATGTTATGTATTAATCTTATCATTGATGAGAACAGTTTGCTTCATGGCGCACCTTAATAAACAAACCCTTTTGTTATTTTCTTGTATCCACGTATCATGCTATCGTGTCCTTATGACTCTTGTCTTATTGCTCTTGCCTGCTTCTCTTCACCATGAGTATAGACACTTGTAGGTGTACTCAAAAGCAATGTTGAGGCTTTTACTTGATCCCGAGAACAGCTGACTTACATATTATTATTATGATTATTATTATATTTATTTGTCCTAACTTACAGCTTCCAAATAAAAAAATGCACCTTTTTCTTCTGTAGAGCAGTTTCCTATATAAGTGACACACGAGATTAAACATGAGACTGTGAGAGTGTCTTTCTACGTTCAAGTTGATGTTCAACCTATGGACCATGCTTTGAAAACAATACAAATTACTTTTATTATTATTATTATTATTTTTATATCTATACATTTGGGTGTACAATAAGTCAATTCTTTTCAATTCATTTTATTGATGTACATAATAAGAGGCATCTATTGTTCTTGGTATTGTTTTATTATTTGCATTTCTGACACCATTGATTAATCTTCACATTTAAATCTGTTATTAATACTACAGGGTTTAGTTCAACTGCTTCATATTGCTGAAACTCTCCTCTTCTTTGACAGTGGTTGTGACTGCAGTCACCGAGTTGGGTTGTGGAAAACCAAAATTCTATTCCACTCCTGATATTATTGCCTTTTGTAGAAAATGGCGGCTACCAACTAATCATGTGTGGTTGTTCTCTACAAGGTGAGTTTTGGTGCAGAATAGGTACTCTCTTTGTATTGCATTTTTAATATTAGTTTTTCTAAGATTGCACCTCAAGATGTACTTGGAGTTTAATTATACTATGATCATTTGTATATAGTGCCACCATTTACTTTCCACAAATAATGTCATTTTTATTCCTGGGCTTTTGGGTTTGACTCTCTCTGTTCTGTTCCCATGCTTGGTAATATTCATTCATCCTTCCAATGTTGTATTGCTAAATTTACTTTAATAGTCAAGTGGGCAGCTATGTAATGCGTCAATACATATCCCTTAAAATTGATGCCTGTAAAGTTGACTGATTTTTATGGCTTCATTCATTCCAAGCCTTTTGGTTTTCTGTCCTATTTTTCCATTTGTGTTGATGTTCAAGTTTGTTATATCATACTAACTTTAAATTTAGCTGATTAGAATGCCATTATGTGTTTACAATCCAATCCTGGAGCAATAACTTTGTAGCAGTAGTGCAATTTAACAAAATTTTCTAGCTATCAGTGTGTTGTCCATTGATACCATGCCTAGAGTTTCTTTACTAGAATCATAGAAAAGTCATTTAAAACTGAGATATGTGATGATGCAAAAATTCTGCTTATCAAAACATTCTAGACAAGCAGTCTGACTTTATCAAGAACTTGTGACCCCATCATCAAACTATTCCATTATGTAGAGCAGTAACACCTTTCGTTATGCGACCATATATGTTGACTTTTCCAGTTATTCCACTGGTGCAACCTTTTAACCTACAAAAGTCTCCATGCCATTTTTTTACTGTGGGCATCAACAGAGGTGTAAGTTGGCACACCCTACATAACTGCATGACAGACCACTTAGCTAGTGCTGTCTCGTATACCTGGTTATGAAGCAGCTTTTGGCTTGATGGTCTTTCCTTATCTTGCTTGCGGTGCATGATCTCTGAGAAGATCCTTGATCTTTCAAACTGGAAGTAGTTTCTATTGCTTTCTTTTAGCTAATGTGTGGACAAATCAAGAAGAATCTAATTTCACTAAATGAGAAACTTATTCTTCGTTATCATGGAGGTCAAACTGATCCATCAGATTCTATGTTCCTTTGAATGTGCATATGATTATCATGTCTTACGTTTTTAGTTTGTACTTCTGCTTGCAATGTTTTATTTGACCAAGTTTAAATTCAAAATTGTAGCGTCACTTCTTACTCAATTGTGTATATTCGTTTTTCATTTCAGAAAGTCTGTAGCATCATTTTTTGCTGCTTATGATGCACTCTGTGAAGAAGGAACAGCTACACCAGTATGTCAGGCTCTTGATGAAGTTGCTGATATTTCTGTACCCGGTAGGCTTTTTTTTTTATTGATACCAGTGATGTTCTTCTTAGTACTTACGGCCATCTGTTGTATTCTTTAATATACATGTTCTAAATTTACATTTCTGTATGACTTCGCTTTTATTCTTGATTTGCACAATTTTGTGTGGGTTGATCCATTTAAGTTGAATTTTCATTTTGTTATACTCAGGTTTGCCATTGACTGATGCTGTTAATTTATAGGCTTACCACTATGCGTGTAGATACTTCCACATTGTATGTGATGCTTGTTTGCAAGTCAAATAAATCATTCTTTTACTCCATCTGCAGGATCCATAGACCATGTGAAAAAGCAGGGTGAAATTTTGGAAGGGCTAGTGGCTCGAATAGTAAGTTGCAAAAGTTCTCAACACATGGAGAAGGTTCTGCAGGAGTATCCTCCATTACCAAAAGAAGAAGGTACTCTTATTTTACTGAAGTTACTGTTCAGTGTTCAAAGTTCTAGGAACAGTATAAATGTACTATTCTGATATCAAGTTAGCACTAGAATCACAATTGAAGAATGAAGACTACTGATTTAAAAAACGTGAGGACAATTAAATTATGTCAAGTACCATATGCCCCAGAATATTAATTTTGTTGAAACCAAGGGTCCAAAGAATAGTATTGGTTGTCTATTTTGATTATGTTTAGTAAGCAGGGATATTTGTGTATAGAATACATTTAAATAAAATTGGGAGAACTAGAATAGAGTACAAGCTTATTGATCTCTTTCACTAGCTTATTTTTTGTTCCAAACTTTGCTGGGGATAATTTGTTGGTTTTCCTACATTCAAATCCTTGATGTCAATGTACTTGGAACTAATGAACAGGCAATAACTGTGGTGGTCCCTGATAACAATAGAACTACTTCTATGTTGTTAATCTAGTGGGATTCTTGGTTTTTTTTTCCTTCTCTCTCCAACATGTTAATGAACTACTGTATACTTTTCCTTTGTGGATTGGTCAAGTCTCACTTTGATCCATGAGTTTTAAATTTGTGCTTCAGTTGACCAATCTCTGGGCTCCAACCTAAGGGAAATATGTGCGGCCAATAGAACTGATGAAAAGCAGGTGATATATTTTTCTCTGGTGATACTGACTTCCACACTTGATGATTTGGAAGGAAATTCTTATATTTATTGTTACTTGGGGTGAATACAGCAAATTAAGGCACTTCTAGAGAGTGTTGGTGCTGCTTTCTGCCCAAACTATTTGGATTGGTTCGGAAATGAGAATTACAGTTCTCATTCTAGAAATGCAGATCGATCTGTTCTGTCCAAATTTCTGCAAGCACACCCTGCTGATTATTCAACTACTAAATTACAGGTAGACTGTTCTCTTGTTCAATCATTTACTGACTTTTGGAACTAGGGAAATCAAACCTATGAAGTTTTATACAGATACGTGCATGTATCGTTAGATGTAGGGTTGAGAAATGCATACATTTTATTACACTTGGTAATTGTGGGAAAATGAGACTGCACTTTACCGGCTGTAACCACATGTATCTAATCTAAATATAGTAAGCAGACGTACACATTTCTGCAAATTGAAATGGTTAATTTTTTTTGTTAATGCTGCTCTAGTAACATGGCATGTAGTTATTAACCTTCTGCAAATACTCCTTGTCTTCTCATTCAATAATATTTACTTCATTAACCTGCTGCACCAGGAAATGGTTCGGCTGATGAGAGAAAAACGCTTTCCTGCTGCTTTTAAATGTTACCATAATTTTCAAAAGTTAAACTCTGTGGCAAGCGATGATCTTCATTTTAAGATGGTTATTCATGTGCACAGTGACTCAGCTTTTAGACGATACCAAAAAGAGATGAGGTGTGCTTCTTAGTATTTATATGTATAAGCTGCACATAGAACAAATTATTTTATTAGATATGAGGTACATTGATTTTCATTGATGAAGATGTCATATTGCAGGCACAATCCTGGATTGTGGCCTCTATTTCGAGGTATTTATTTTACTTCTAAACTGAAGAATGTACTTCTCCATTCCGTTGCTTAATCAATATGCATGGGGCATTGGTCATATAGATTTTATTTGGAGCATTGCATCACTTTTGAAGCATATATGGGCCTTCCTTTGACTTGTATGGCTAATGCTAACATTTTGATGTCTTGGCTCTACCTGATTTGTGGTTTTTGATATTGAATGCTTGTTTATTCTTGTTTTTAGCATTTGGTGTTGCAGTGACTTCATATCTACTTTTTGTGTGTGTGTGAGCTGAACCGTAGAACATATGGTGTAACATTTATAAAGGGTTGTGGTTAGGTTGCAGGCATTACCATATGCCATTGTCAATATTTATTTGTCATTCCTTGAACATAAGGGTGTGTTTGGTTTATTGGTTGGGTTAAAGTTGACATTATGCTCCCAGTTTTCTTCAAATATTACATTATGTGAAATTCATTCAAAATTTTTAATTTCTATCTCTTTCCCAATAAGCAAATATATTGATATACATTCAAAACTCTTTTTTTATTTTTTATTTTTATTTTTATAAAATTAGTTTATGTTGATTATATATAAAAATATAGTATATTTTATTTAGTTGTATTATATTACCTTCGTCCCATCTCAAAGTATGTTTTTGCTCTTTTGTAGTGGGTTAAAAAATAATAATATTTTATTGGTTTGTGGAAATGTATAAGGTCGTTTTGACATTTTTGCCTTTTTATTTATGTATAAAATTGTATGGGTAAGGTTATGCTTGTACTTTAAGTAAAAATTAGAAGGATTTGGTATTAATATATGATTTTTTTTACTATAATAGAAAAGAGATGCTTTTGAGTGAGATAGACGAAAATGGTAAAAGTAGTATTTTTAGTTGGGATGGAGGGAGTATAAAATTTTATTTTATAAAAAAATGATATTCATATTGTATATATTATATTGAGATATAATTTTTAAACTACTTAAATTCATGTTTTATATTAATTTTTATCATATATATTATATCATAAATCAAATATTAATTAAATAAATCTGCTCCAACGCAACTTACAATTTCAAATCCAACCGATAACCAAACACACCCTTTATTTTTTATTATATTGGTTTAATGTTTACTGAATGTTTCTCTAGTCAGCTTCTAATCTATGTTTCTTCTGCAGGATTTTTTGTAGACTTAAACTTGTTTAAGGATAGAACTGGGAAGGTTAAGGAATCTGACCAGGAAACAAATGGTGTAGCAGAATCTGGGAATACCTCAAATGTTGCACCTGCAAGCGATGATTTAGCTGATGAAGATGCAAACTTGATGATCAAGCTGAAATTTCTTACATATAAGGTATGAAATGAATCAATATCCACAGTGTTACCAAATTATTTAAGTTCAAATTATAATTTTGGTGCAGTTATATGTATAGTTAAATTGAGTGCAGTGGTGCTTCAATCATCATTAATACATGGAGAAGGGATGATATTTATGTGCAACTGTTTGCTTTCAAATGTTCACTATTGCTACACAAAAGGAGTTCAATAGCTATTTTCCAAAGATGTACACTGCTAAAGAATATGGATTCCTTGCTTATTGTTACATCATGTTGACATAGACAAGATATGGATTAATGGGATTCAGAAAATCTTCAATAAAACCATAATAAATAATAATCTTACTTATATGCATTGATATTAACAAGGTTTAAACTTTGGTGGTGTCAATTTCACACTCACAAATTTACTGGAAGTTTAGATCTGTGTTTGAAATTCTTGAGATGACCATAGTCACCACACATTTTTCCAAAATTTGGTGACTATGATTAATTCTAATTTCTCACCTTGATCAGCTTGATTTGTTTTTGCCAAGTTTAGACTGACTTCAGAAATTTCATGAGATGTGATTTTGCCAAATGTAAGCAATGTCCTTAAAAATGAATGATTATATTTGACATGGTATTAGATCCACTCTGAGCAAGAAGATCTAAAATGTTCAAACAAGGATGAATTTGCAATATATTTGAACACCTTACAACATCTAAAATGAGTTGACACAATATTAAGTAATCTATTACATTACAATAGTTAATGAGCATTGGGGAAGGACCAAATTTGAAAGTGAGGTGTCTCTGGGTTATTACATTTGAAAGATTTTTTCATTCTGCTTGTTATTAACAAGACAATTGATGTCTACATGACAATGAACTTATTATGCATTATGAAATTTGACATTTCAACTCATATATTACATCTTTTATTAATTGCTAAATTCTATCAAATTTTATTGCAAACCAATAGTAATGGGAGGAAAATTTATCGTGAGGAAACCATGTTGACTCAGCATCAGATTTATACCCCCCTTAAATATACACTAAAATATGCTTTAGATTTAAAGTTTCTTGGGGATCCTGGTATGGAATAATTTTCAATCATCATCCTAAAAGAGTTAAGATGGAATCCTTTTTCTTGATTGATGGAGGATCTCAAAGAAACTGCAAATATTTCTATTGATTAATCCAAATTTCTTTATCTATTTTGGCTGATGATCACTTATTAGACACAATCAATTGTTTTTATTTTTGTGGTTTGATGCTGAGTTGGACTGTTGGAGAAGACGATGCATTAATTATTCAAGAATATATCTGAATGTGCAGATAAGGACATTTTTGATTCGAAATGGCTTGCCAATTCTTTTTAAACAAGGTGAAGCTGCATACAAAGCCTACTACCTAAGGTTAGTTTGTCTGCAGTCCATCATCTATGGAATTGTGTTTATACTATATAACTAAATAATTTAATGAACAATCTTCCCCATTTGACAATATTGTGTTTGTGCATGCTATTTGATGTGCACTGTCTTAGAGAAGACGCCTATGTTCAAAATATTTGATCTAAATGATTCTCTCTGTGTGTTGTTTTTAAATTTCATTTTCACAAATTGTTTCTGCCTTATGAATTATGATTCTGATCAGAGTTTAAGGTTTCAGAATTTATTTTTCTAATTATACGTTTTGTAGCCCTTTTTTTTCACCTTTCTCTCTCTCTTTTTTTTTTTTTTTTTTTTTTTTGCATCTGGTAAATTCACATGCATGTACTCAGCAGTGGATAACTTTTCTGTAATTAACTGTACATGTAATAGATAATTGACCAATGCCAAGAAACATCTTCAGCACTTGTACGTATACAACCATGAATTTGGATTACAATCACATTTAGTGAGTTTTGTGTCTTGATTATTGATTAAATTCGCCGTAGACAACTTATTGGAGATAATCAAATTGTCAAGGAGCAGATTATTATTGTCTTGTAAAGCCAGTTTCTCTTGTGTTATTAATCTACACACACAAATGTATCTAATATATTATTATGTGGCAATTCCAGGCAAATGCAAAAATGGAATACTTCAACTGCGAAGCAAAGAGAGCTTAGCAAGATGTTGGATGAATGGTAATCCTGATTTCTCTTGGAGCTTGCATGAAGTTGTTGGACCGTATTTGATTGTGCTTATTTTTTCTTTTTCTTTATCAAGGGCTGTATTTATACGTAGAAAATATGGACGCAAACAGCTGTCTTCTTCCACATATCTTAGTGAAGCAGAACCATTCCTCGAGCAGTATGCGAAGCGCAGTCCTCAAAATCAGGCTCTGATAGGAGCTGCGGGCAATTTGGTGAGAGTTGAAGACTTTATGGCAATTATTGATGGAGGAAGAGATGAAGAGGGTGACTTGGAGCCAGAGAGAGATACAGTGCCAGTAAGTCCAACTCCACATGTGAAGGAAGCTGTTAGGAAGGATGAAGGACTCATCGTCTTCTTCCCTGGTAAGAGTTAATCTAGTGCCTTATACCTCTTTTTATAAATTATAATTATATACCATTTACTTGACCTTTCACCTCTGAATGATGGGCACAAGTTAAATGCTTTATTGAAACTAGCTGTTAGGAAGGATGGTAGAAGTTAAGTGACCTACACCACTTTCTGTGTTTCTATAAAGTTTTGACCCGTGAAGATTGATTGATGATGATTGAAATGCTTCTTGAAAGTTAAGTGTAATAAGATCTCAAAGATACAAAACTCAGAAGAAACCCTTATGATATGATAATATTATGTCATAGAGCCTGAATGCTAGAAAAACTAGATTGGTAAGACCTTAAAGCTGCATAAAGTAATTGTTAATGTGGAATTGTAAGATACTTAATGTGTTAAATATCTTTATTGTTTTTGCTGTCAGACAACAGCATGAGTGAGATGTTTTTCCATTCACAAAGAAATCTTTTTTGTTCATTTTGTTGTTGATTTGTTTATTTCCAAACATTTTACCAAGAAAGGAATTTTTCTATCTGGTGTTCCCCCATGTTAATGGCTCTAGCTTTGTTATTTCCAATATATGTCATCAAATGTGCCTTTTCAGGAATACCTGGCTGTGCTAAGTCAGCACTTTGTAAGGAAATACAGAGTGCCAGCAGAGAACTTGCTGACGATCGTCCAGTCCATAGTTTGATGGGGGATCTTATCAAAGGTACTGAGCTTAGCTTACAACTTTTTCTTTCCTACAGCAAAGGTATATTGCCCAAATATTTCCAAAGGTCTTTACTCATGAATTTTCTGTTGTTCTGCTATGCATTTAATTTTCTTTATTGTTACTGAAACAGGAAAATATTGGGGGAGGATAGCGGAAGAGCGGCGCAAGAAACCTTATTCTATCCTGCTTGCTGATAAAAATGCTCCTAATGAGGAAGTTTGGAGGCTGGTAATAATTAGTGATTCCTGAAGTTATGATTAGTATGGTTAACAGTGTGCACAAGGTTAATTTTATTTGAAGAAATCTAACACCCTGTCTCAACAATCATGATTTCCGCATGGCCCACTTTTTGGAGAACTCGCTGATTGCCTGCAAATGCTACTACCCAAATCATCACCATGCAGATGATAGGAAAAGAACTGTGGAAGAGTAATTAAGAGCCCTAACAATACTTATAAGTGAAATATGCGTAGATACTAACAACATGCATAATCACTCATCATTCAATTGAACAAGTATTCTTGCACCCTAGCTCCAAGTTAATAACTCAGATCACTAACTTGGCCTCCCAACATAGTGCTTTCCAGGGTCTATTTCTGGATGGGGGAGTTATAACTGGATGCGTTAAAACTTATTTCTCTTTCTTTGGCTTTTATTTGTTCTCACTTTTTGTGTCATTTCGGTGTTGATGTAAGAATCTAAGGCAGGGACTTTCATCTTTAAGAGTTTTTAAGACTCTACAGTTGCTTACTTTTGTGTTTTCTTTTATACAACATTGTACAGATTGAAGACATGTGTCGCAGCACAAAGGCATCTGCAATCCCAGTTGTACCAGATTCAGAAGGTGAAGTGCTCCAGTGGTTGCGTATCAAATTTCCAGAACCTGTGTATATCGTTGAGTTCCACATTATTTGTGAAGCATGCCTAAATGTTCAACTATAAGTTTTCTAAACAACTTAAATCTTTTACCAACAAAAATGTGGTATGTGGTGGACTAGACTGATCATTATAGAGTAAGTATCACATCCTTCATAGTTTCAGAATCTGGAGCAATAATACTTGGTACAATTATTAGTTTTACTGGCTTGAAATTATGATTGTGGGCACACACCGGCCATTTAGTGTTTTTGATGGTTAAATTGATTCATACGAATCTAATTGGTTAAAGAAATGGAGGATATAGTACATTGAAATCATAACAAATATTAGTGACTTCATCCTGGATATTTGATCTACTCTTTCTATCCTCAATAAATATTTTGCATCTTAGAAGTGCACGTCTAATAGATATCCTATGTTTTTGTAAGTTTCTTACCAATTAAAAGTTTGTAGGTTTTTCAATTTTAATAACTATATTGACTTTTTACTTCGCTAACTATACTAATTTCCAATGTGGATTTCTCTTGGTATACTTGCAGGAACTGAATCGAATCCTTTCTCTCTTGATGCTCTTGCTGTTTTCATTTTCCGAGTCCTTAACCGAGTGAATCATCCGGTAATAAATAAAATTAATTTGAATGTCATCTTTTCATACACTTCATTCTAGGAACAATCAAACCAATGGTTTTCTTTTTGTTCATTTGCTTCTTCAGGGAAACCTTGACAAGACATCTCCAAATGCTGGTTATGTGTTGTTAATGTTCTACCATTTATATGATGGCAAGGTACTGCTATTGTAATTATGATAATATGCTTTTATATATTCCATATAGTTTCTATAGTAATGACATTATCCTCAATTCCAGAGCCGCAAGGAGTTCGAATCTGAGCTAATAGAACGATTTGGTTCACTGGTGAAAATGCCTTTATTGGAATCTAACAGGTTCTTATTTCATTAGTTTGGTGCCAACTGTACATCTTCAATTATGGTTTAGATAAGTGCAAGAATAATTATATAGATATGTAGCTCAATACTAGAAAGCGTGTTTTCTCTGAATTGTTAATTCATGTTTGGTATTTTATCTGAATTGTTTTCAATTTTTCTTAAGGGTTGTTATTGTTGATGAAAAACTTGTTCTCAGAAAAAAAAAATAGGGCGGCTGTATGATTGAAACAAGCATTAATTCCTATTATATTCTACATTCTACAAAGTTTCCTCATATTACTATTTTTGAGTCACTGTATTGTTGGCTTCACCCAAATATAGACAGCTTCCTGTTATTCAAATTACTATAACATACTGCTCCAGCAGCTCCTCGTTAGTTAGTTGGAGGATGCAGTATTGCCCATATAGGAAACACATGAATGAAAGGAGGAGAGTAGAAAGAACAAAACATATCACCTTTAAATGTTTTGTGCTTGTACTGTTTCTTGAAGATGTGAAACCTATGGCTTGTTTTTTTTGTAGTGTTCTTGCTTGAGTCAATCGTTTAGCTGTACTTGTTATTTGGCCCCTGGAGAATTTTACTAGTGATGGTTTTTGTACGTCAGCTGTATGTTTAGCTGATGGAAAGTTGGATTATTTAATGTATGAATTATGTTTAGCTGATGGAAAGTTGGATTATTTAATGTATGAATAGTTCTTTGATTTTGATTAAGGGGTTGTTGAATTCTTGCCTTCACATAAGAATAAATAGAATACTTATAAGTTTGTCAAACATGCCTCGTGTAGCTAGGGGTTTTTTTCATAAAAGGCAACCATTTTATTTCCCGCACATAATAACATTATATATAATGTTTCCCTCTCAAAAGTTTGATAAAAGATGTGAATCTCTTACTTTTATATATTTTCATCAGTTCTGTTTCCTGATTTTTTATTTGCTTGGTGGCTTTCCTGAATGTTGGTCCTTAATCTGCAGATCATTAATTCCTTTTCCATCGTGAATATGATGTAGACTTACAGTATTTTATGTTTCTCTTGGTATGTTTAGATCTCCTCTGCCTGAATCTGTGAAAACTGTTCTGGAGGAAGGAATTAATCTCTACAAGCTTCATACTAGACAACATGGAAGGTGATTGCCCTGTTACTTATAATTTTATTTTGTCGTTTATGAATAGAAGTTTGTATGCTTTGTTGCACTGTTTTAATTTGTTCTATTATGACATACATCTGATAAGGAGCTGCTGCCCATCATTCCAAGGTGGCAAGTATCGGAGGTTTTGTTCTAATATTTAATTTTAATTTATATATTTTTACCCTGTGCTAGATTGGAGTCCACAAAAGGCACATATGCAAAGCAGTGGAGTGAATGGGAGAAAAAATTGCGCCAGACCTTACTCGGGAGTGAAGAATATATGAAATCCATTCAGGTTAGTTGGCGTCTGTATTCTTTAGTAGGTGTTCGCCATTGCTTACTAGTAGTCTCTTATGCTTCAAGCTTAGTCTCAAGGCAAATTGGTAGAAGCTAGCACAAATAATTCATGTATATCGCTTCGGCTACAGTGTTGACAACGCATGATTATATAATATGCAAAATATATTTTAACAACATATTATATAATTTCATATAGCACAATATATTATTGCTTTCAGCACATGTATTTGTATATGATAAAACATTATGTTGTGCTATATAAAAATATATACTGTCTGCCTTATATATATGTGTATGTGTGGTGGTCTGCGTGGTAACCACCACCCGTGTATGTGTATATATATATATATATTGAAAAAACTTGGTCAAATTAATCTGTTTATGTAATAATCAGATAATATTATGTGATATTTTTTAAATTATTAGTCATTGCACTGCTGAGTGAATTAACATATACCATTTGAAGTTCATCTTTAAGGTCACAGCATTGTTATATTTTATGAGAACATTGGAAACAAGTCAGTCATAGAACACACTCTCAATTTCCATCCAATTAACACATGGCCATAGATACATTGTGCTTTTGCTTCGTCATCTAGGCTTTCTAATTGTCGTATGATCCCGAGCTGTCTCTGCAGGTCCCGTTCGATGTTGCTGTTCAAAGGGTTCTCGAACAACTGAAAACAATTTCTAAGGGAGAATATGTAGCTCCTAGTACAGAGAAAAGGAGGCTCGGCAGCATTACCTATGCTGCTGTTAGTTTGCCAGTGTCAGAAATTCTAACTCTCCTCCATAATGTAAGTTAAATACATCCTCTCTCGTGTTTCTTACATTTAAAATAATAAATCTCCCTCCTCTGATATGTACGCCGCTCCTTTTTTTTTTTTTTTATTATTTTCTACTAAACTTATGTATAATTTATTTAAAGTAAAACAAGTTTATCAATCCATAATTTTGTTAATGCTTACTTTTAACAAATAATAATAATAACTTTGCTATACTTTTTGTACCTATCCAACTATTTTTGTTTTAATCTAATTTCTTAATAATTTTTTTTATAATACTCACCTTACTTTTTACTATCTCATTTTATATTAAAATACCGTTATTTTTTAATTTCTTTGCCTAAACAAATTGACAAAATTATTCTGGACAGAGGGAGTATAACCGAAACAGGGGTAGATGTATCAATAATGTTAGGGAGTGGTCATGAGTTCTGACTCCTACCTTTTGTACCGTATTTAAAAACTTTTGTCGCTTTTAATCCTGATTGATCGAACGTATTATATCCCTTGATAATCGAACGTTTTTTTTTTTTTTTTTTAATTTGTATTGCTTTTGATCGGTTAGCTAATTTGACTTAATGGCTTGTCGACACAGTTGGGTGCAAAGGATTCAGGAGTTGCAGCATTCCTCGACAACAAGAACTTAAGGAACAGCCTTACGAAAGCCCACGTGACCCTCGCCCACAAGAGGAGCCACGGCGTAACTGCCGTAGCCAGCTATGGTTCTCATGTCCACCAAAATGTTCCCATTCACATGACTGCACTACTGTTCTCGGACAAACTGGCCGCCCTGGAAGCCGATCCCGGGGTGGTCAGCGGGGAAAAGATAAATTCAAAAAACGAGTGGCCGCACGCCACGCTGTGGACTGCTGAAGGAGTCGCGCCCAAAGAAGCCAACACCTTACCTCATTTATACGGCGAAGGGAAAGCCAGCCGCGTAGAGATCAACCCTCCGGTGACAATATCGGGAGTTCTCGAGTTCTACTAAAAATATAGATATGGTTATTATGTTCGAATAATGAGCAGGTGCATGAGTTTTTTTTTGTATAATTTGGGTGGTGAGTTTCTCTAATTGATAATCAGCCACGATTTTGTGTTCGTGTAGACGACAGGCAGACGTACACAAAGATGGTAACAATAAAAGGGGTTTATGCTGCTGATGCTACTGCTCGTAATTGCAAAGTTCATGGCGATGCTAGGAATGTGTAACATTACTGCTTACAGGTACTAATCAATAATGTGTGCTCATTTTCATTAGAAAAGCTTTACATACATACGAGATTCAACTGCTCTTTAGTCTTATTTTAAAAAATATTTCAGTCAATCTATCACATAGTATACTGCAGTTATAACGGTGAAATGTTTTAAATGTTGTTACTTATAAAATGTGTATACACAGAAAAGTCACACTAGGCGAACTATGTGTGGCAGGTGACCTGAGACGTCCAACCCCTACACCGGCCATCTCTTACGGGATTTTTTACAATCTTTTTGGTTGTAGCGTTTGAGGGTTTTTACTGTATCATTATTTTTCAAAATAATTTGTGTTTATATCATGTTAAATAATTATTTTAATTTTAAATTTTACTGTATAAAATTCAAACCACACCAACAAAATCAGCCAAGCGGAAAAAAAAAAACCACATTGGGAACCCTCAAGACAAAATTTAACTAAATAAGATATTGGTAGGATTTAATTAGGTAAATTCTTTAACAGAGAACAATAGCTTGCAAATCGCTAGTGGGTAAATTGAACTACAGACGTCTATATATCACTCCTATTCATTAAACTTAGATGTTCTTTTTTATTTTTTCCACAAAATATGTATTTTATATTTATAATAAATAATTTTTACACCCGCTTTTATTTATTTCTTTTAACATTATATTCATTTACCAATTTATTCAAAATTTTCTCCTATTTGTTCAACATAAGAACCCTCAACCGATACTATATAAATAAATGTTCAGACCGAGCATAACGGTAGTTTGCCGATCTGGTTCACTGCTTGATTTCTTTGAATTCATATTAGGTAAAACCAAATTTACTAATTTGAATACTAATTCCGGTTTCAATCCAAAAGCAAAGGTGCAAAAAAAAAAATAAAACATGAGTGAAATACATCCCTATATATATATATATATTAAAATATATTGAACAAATACCTTCATCAAACACCCAAAAGATCTGTATCAAAGAAATTCAATCATTCATACAAAGATTATAACTTAACTCCAAAATCAAGATTGGGAGCTCCAGCTTCTTACCCAATCAGTTAAGGAAGAAACATTCCGATCCATGTCATCGATGCAGTCGCTTTTTAGCGCCACCACAATGTCTTCTGCGTAACTCTCCGTCGCCTCCTCTAAAAGAACCTGAAAGATCTCGCATTCGACATTATTTTTTATCTTGTTTTCCTCATAATCCCTGCAATGGAGGAATTTACGATAATGGTAAGTGATTTGAACATAGCTAGGACTAAGAACTGAGGGTTTAACAAATAACGAAGAACACATGTGGTGCTATAGGCGAGGAAGAAGCATATCTATTCTATCACCTCTTAGTAAGGCGCTCGTACAGAACAGAGTTGTCGGTTTGTAGCACCACAACGCGGTCGAACCAACGTTCAGGAAAGAAGTCACAGCCGTGATAATCAACTATATTTCCGCCTTCTTCCATCAAATCCTCAAGCTCATCACACACCTGCACAACACACAAAATTGAATGAAATACGAGCTAAAAGCCAATCGGGAATTATACATGTTTACGGAAATACATTAAAGCTCTTAGTTAACGATACTTTTGCTATTCTCTGTCCGCTCAAAAGCTATAATTTTTCAATTTTCATCCATCCAAACACGAAGTATACTCAGGTCTTGCCTGCTACATATGGTTCGCCTAGTATGACTTGTCTTGTCGAGCTTAATTTGCAGTCTATTAGGTTGCGAGTTTCCACATTATAAAAAAAATAAAAAACAAAAAAACACGAGGACAAAAATAGCACTACCATTTTAATACTAATATTTCTTAATTTCTGCACAAAAAACAAATGTATATCTTGTTAGTGGACGTTGAGAGTACTATTCAGCAGATAGTTAAGAAAATAATCCCTCAAAATTGTCGAAGATGATTATTTAACAATGCCACAAAATGAACATGCCCAAAATATATAAAGATTGAAGAAAAAAATCCACATCAGACCAGTTAACATTGATTGTAGTTGTGAAGAAATGGTTTGTCGGTCACGGAATATTGAAAAATGCCTTGATGTGTTAGAAGCATTGAACAAAGCGTCGAGGGAAAACCAAGTTCACAAGAATCCGTACGATAACCTAGGTTGTTCCAATACACCCAAAATTAGGAATGCTGACAATGACAAAAAAAAAAAACACGAAACACCATCTATTGCAACAAGTGTGAGATGTCCACATATCATGCCATGGAGCAGATCAGGTATTGATTTCATTAAATCAGCATCTGTCGATGAAATTCAGTATCTATATAACTACAGTCTGCTATGAATATTTTGAATATAAGATCACTTATACAACAATATATTGATATAAGAAAAACAACATATTCAAGAACAAAAAACATGTGAACAATAATTCAATAAAAGTTTTGTTATGGAACCACAACATATCCAAACATTTGTTAAACCTGTCTATTGTACAAACATATAACATATCAACACTCAACATACATAATTGAAGTGAACAACAACATACGAATACGAGAACTACTACTCAACTCATGTATAAGCATTCAGCATATTAAATGAAAATTTAATTATCTGACTTTAAATTTATGAAGTGACGTTGTCCTTATTACAAGAAAAACATATTACCACAGTGACACTGATAAAACGGAACATACCATCGTACTCTCTTTACCTAGTAAAATATAACTATTTGTTTTTTTGCATGAAAATTAAGAAAAATTGTGTAAAATATCGGAGGCCTTGGAGGTTTAAAACTCATGGCCTCATAGTTAGTTACGAATTCACTCCACATTTGTGACACCTCGTGTAATACTCCCGGAATTGGGCCGGTGTTCGGCCAACTCCCGTAGATGAACCGGTGCCCGGCCATCCAAGGTTGAATATAGTTTAAATAAATTGAATAGACTATTCATGTCAACAATGTGCACATTCCTTTTCGGAAGTCCTACTGAAAAAACTCTAGAGTTAAGCATGCTTGCTTTACAGTCATTTGAGGATGGGTGACTCTTGGGAAGTTTCATATGGTGCGCGTAGTGAGGACCGAAGCGTCCTGGAAGGACACCTGTTAGGATTGTAAACTGGCCCCACAGATCCACACCTTCAAACACTGTGCCCGCAAAGCCGGACGTGTCGGAATCGCGGAATCGCAGACTGACTCCATATGTCAACACATGTCCTTCCACCCTGGTTCTAATCCTCAGTTACACGCACTGTTGAAAACTTCCCAGGGGTTGCCATCTTTAAATTACTCCAGGCAAACACATTAACTCTAGAGTTCTGGCCTACACGGTTTCATTTACGAAAATTGGTCTACCTTCCTTAAAGGGACTAAAAGTTCACGTTTTTTTTTTAGTCTCACAGAACATGGTATCAAACAATTGTTTAAACCAAAAGTTCCAACTGCAGAAATAAGTTTAGGCAGCAATCTGTATCCAAATTCATGGCTGATATATTAAATTAATACTAAAATTTTCGTGGAGGTCGAAAAACTTCAACAACAGCTGAGTACTATTCCACTCAGAATGCATATAATTATCAGCTCGGAACTGAATCAATGGAGGTAGAAATCTTCTTTTTTTTTTTCGCACAGTAATGTGTAATTTTACAAATCAAACAAACGCCCAAGGAAATTTTGAAGATTGGATCACAGAGTGGTGTGGCGAAGGACTTACGAGATCTTCATTGATGACATAAGAGTCGAATTCCTCGTCCCATCCGTCATGGAGACTTTTCTCCTTCACCAATTCACTGACGTTGATATGCCGCAGATTGGCCGCTTCGGCTAGTGCCGCCGACGTCGTCGTTTTACCTGTCCCCGGTGTGCCCGTGATCAGGATATTCGGTCTTGCTCTTGTCTTCCTTCGGCCGTCGTTCGTCGCCATTTTCGGAGCTCCGCCTCACTCGGTCGCCGTCGATTAGGGTTTCTCTTATATGAGGGGATGAAGGCGGTGCTTTACTTATTTATTTGTTTTTTTTTGAACGCTAAAATTTTTCTTAATTTTTTTTTAATTTATCCCATTACTAATTTTGGCAAAGTCATTGAAAAATGATTGAATATTTATTTACAATTAAATCATTAACTTTATTATATTTTCTCTTTATTTATTTTACTTTTTAATTAAATTTTCAAAAATATCCTTAATTGCCTATCACTTTTTCATAGTAGTAATTTATAGTCCTCTATTGCGGCTCGTGGCAGGTGACCTGAGACTTCATGGTCACAAGTTTAACTCCTACGCCACCATACCATCTCCTACGGACCATAGATATACTTAAATATACACAATGGAGAGGTCAGATTAATAAAATTATACAATGAAATCTTCAACACTTTTAAATATTACATTAAAATCTTTTTGCATAATTGGTCCTATTATTATTATTATTGTTTTAATCCTATAATATTTTGATTATATTACATTGAATTAAATAATTATTGTGTATATTGTGTTACCATTTTCACAATATTTTTTAAAGATAGGCATAGTTTAGATGCATCAATCAAGATAGTCAATATTTCGTGTGTAATTTAAAAAGATTGATAATATTTAATCAAATACTAAAAAATAAGAAAGTGTATAATCATATGCAATATAATGGTTTATTCTTAAAATGTTCTATATTATAACTTCATCCAATAAAATACACCCAATCAGATTACAAAATTTGCAAAATTTATGTAAATATATACACACTCCATTATGATTTGAGACAATATAAATACTTGCATTGGTATTTCTACAAAATAACATAATATAATACTCCATAAAAGATCGATAATCGAACAGATCATACAAAAAAATAAAAAAAGAAAAAGAAATGAAGATGAGCAGGAACTACTCGTTCGTTGTCTTAGCTGTGTTGCTTATCATGGCCTCAGGTAATTAGTTTTTTTTTTTGGTTTGTTTTGTGTTTAAATTTTAATTTTAATTTTTATAGTATATTAATTGTGATATTTTATTAAAAAAATAAAATTATTTTATCAAACCAAACAAACCCTTACTAATTACTATACAAACTATATAATTAAAATTTTGGAAATAGTAATTTTTCCGACCTATTTCCAATCTATAGTTACATATATCAAATTTTAAATATACAAAATGTTGAGTGATATCAATGTATTCATATACTAAATGAATTTGTTCACCGAATCATCCGTCGTGTATATATATATATGTGTATATGTTGGTCTTTTATAATTGAATATATTGTCGCAAAATAAATTAATTTATCGAAAATTAACGCAGGTTGGGAAATTACAAGGGCTAGGACAGTCGACGAAGAGTATTCTTCGTATTATAATTATAATGAAGATGGAGAACCAAGCATAAAGGCGGGTGGTGCCTGCAAATCCGACAAGGATTGCGCAAAATTTTGTAGCCCAAGTTGCTCAAGCAAAAATTGCGTCAAAGGGATTTGTATTTGCGGATGCTAATAGTTTAATCTATATATAATTTATAAGAAAACGGTCGAGTCACATTCTCTAAAGGAATTTTCATATTTTTTTTTTAGATTTTTAATAAAAAAGTTGACTCTACATAAACACAATATATGTATTTTGTTTTTTCGAGCATCTTAATTTCTTCCCACATATATATATATATATATACTATATAGTCTTATAAAACATTTAATAATTAGTTTACCAAAAAGCAAAATATAAACACAAAAATAATAGTAAAATGCAAATTCTAAATAATTTAAAGATGAATTATCTTTGTATATTTTTAATTTTATATAATAAAAAATAAGATAAATTCTATACTAATAATACTAATTATTAGTATAGTCATAAAATTTAAATAAGCTTAGCCAACCCTAACCATGCAACATTGAAAAAAATTTGTGTAAAAAAAAAGTTGCAAAATTTTTCAGACATCTTAATGTTATTTTTTAGGATTGAAAAATCAAAATTGAAATCGAAAATAAGATTAAAGCAAATAAATTAGTGGAAGCGAATTCGAATAAACTCGTCGATCCAGGTATAATTCACAATACTTAAATTAAAAATAATATCAAAAAAAATTGGGGTGGAGGAATTAAAAGATTTTACAAACATGTTTTTAAATCAATTTATTTACATGTACTAGTCATAATATCATGACGTCGCCTTATAATATTGCAATTTTATTATCTTTAAATTACATAAATATTATGTATATTGTTTCATCAATTTCGTAATTTTTTCCAAAAATAGGCAAAATATTATCTATGTGTTTGGGAGTTGCCTATAAGAATATAAATAATAAAAACTTATATTAAAAAATAAAATTAATTTTTACTATAATATAATCGATACAAAAAAGTTTTAATAATGTTTTTATTATTATTATCTTTTTAATATTGTGAATTTTTAAGAAAAATACAACTAAACACAACTATAAAATATGTGATATTCCCTCCGTCCAATTTCTATTGTCCTAAAGTATATTTGCACGATTTTTTAGGTAATTGTTTTTTGTTATGAATTAACAAATTTGTCATTAATTGTATGGTAGAGATTAAAATTAATAAATGAATAAAGGGTAAAAATGTAAAATTTATGTTTAAAAAATGAAATAGGACAATAGTAGTTGGACGTCCCAAATAGGACATTAGTTTTTGGACGGAGGGAGTATAATAAAGATATAATATTTTGTGTATAATATAATAAAGATATATAATATGTAATATAATATTGAAAGAACAAAACATACTCTCTCCGTCTCATTGGAATGGTGACATTTGCTTTTTACAAATAGATTTTTGAATATTAGTATTATATTGGATTTTAGTGAATAAGACAAAAATACCCCTATGAGTATGGCGTAATATAAAAGTAATGACATTTGTATAATATAATGTAAGTTGAAAGAATATTTATTATGTTAAGTATGTAGTACAATTGCTAAATTAGAAAATGATAACTTTGTTTTGAGACGAACAAAAATAGAAAATGATAACATTTGAACGTGACTGAGGAAGAATAATAATCTATTGCATTTAAGATTACTATCATACACTTCATTCAGTATAAACTCATAATCATATTACAAAAATTACAAAATTTATGTGTATATAAACCCCAATTAGTATTTGAGACATTATAATACATACAATAATATAATATAATATTTAATCAAATATTTGATAGAAATAACACCATACTACAAAAAGATTACTACTCCTTAAATACTAAAATAAATAAATAAATATATCCAACCAAAATGAAACATAAATCTTACTATAATATAATTAAAAATTAGTATTGTGTCCCATGTCATGGACAATTTTTTTAGATTTTTTTTCTTGCTTTAAAAATTATAATTACTTATATCTTTATTTTTGTTTTCACTCTATTTAATATATAAAATATTGATTAATCGTGTAATACTGTAATTAATATTATCTTAGATTATAATAATAATTGTATATACTCTATCCGTCTCAGATACCACCGGTGTAATTAGTAGATAATTAAGAATGTATTAGTGAAAATAATTATTCTATAATATAAATAATTATAAATTAAAATTAAGATAACTAATTAGTTTAATTAAAATTAAAAAAAATAAAATTAAAAAATTTAAAATGAGATTAAAGTGTGTAATCATTTTCCAAAAAATGAAAGTGACATGGTACGTGGGACGGACAGAAACGGCAACGTGGACATGGTATTTGGGACGGAGGGAGTATTATTTTATCAATTTCATAATATAGAATTTTGGAATTTTGGAGTTATGGATCCGGAATAGTAAAAATTTTAGAGTATTTGATATAATATTTTATTAGAAAAATAAAAACCGTGAATGAATAATATTAAAACATTTAAAAGTATGTATGTAAACAATATCATAATCTTCTCTAAAGATAAATAAATTTTGGAATATGATTGGGAGTTGATTTTGGAGTTAAAATTATTTGATATGATATTTTGAATCTTGAGTTAATTTTTGGTATAGTTTAAAAATAAAAAATAAGAGCAAACATGTTTTTTTATTTCCGTAACTGGATTTGTTTACCATTTCAGTCTGTCGATCTTCTTTTACTCGACTTCATCCATCTTGACTCCCACAAACAAACCTAAAGTTCACTTGATATGAGAGCACATCGGATATCTTCTCCGCTGCGTTTGCCGAAACCCTTACCCTTCCCTGCCAACCTTGCACCGCCTATCACAAAGGGACCCGCTGCCTGACCTACCAGTCGGGACCGACCCAACACCCCCATGAGACTTTCGACACAAGGCACCTCCGCAGGTCACAAGGGATTCCCACAACGACCCAATGTTTGATTCCTCTAATCCACCCTACCAACGAACCAGACTCTGATACTACTTGTTACAGAAATTCTAGGAAATCAAGATGAGACGATCAAGTACATAAGAACACAATAATTTGGTAACCCAATTCGATCACAATGATCTACGTATGGGGGCGCTGCCAAGCCAGGAATTCTACTATAGAGTACGCAGACACGTGTTAAAGTGAGAATACATGAATATTTATAGGCTAAGCCTATGCCAATAATATTCAAATCATATATCTAAAATCTATAATGTAATATCTAAATCATATCCCTAGATTTTATGATATAATTAGGCTTCATATTCCAACAATATATCGCATGTGTTCAACAAAATACGGCCGTGTATATGTAATTGGCACCAAATCGTCATTGAAAACACAACCGTGTTAGCTAGCAGAACGGCTGTGTTTTAGATGACGATTTAATGTCGATTACATATACATTGTTGCGTCACTTAGCTAGCACGTGGCCGTGTTTTCGATGACGATTACATATATACAACGGTGTTTTCGCTGATGGTTTGCTGCTGATTACATATACACGGTACTGTTTTTTCCGTTAAATCCACGTCACTTATTACCATTAGTTTTATAAAGATGGGGCAAAAAATAATTAAAGTCATTTGTATTGGAATTAAAATTGATGAGCA